CCGACGACGCCAAGCAAGAGAAAGAGAAGACGGAGACCACGAGGCAAAGATCCTCGACCTGCGCAGCCTCAGCCAGGATGCCGCCGCCGCCGTCCTCGCCCAGGTCGCCCGCATCGAACGCCGCACTTTCCCCCCCTCGGAGGCCCTGACGCTCGACCTCAGCCTCTGCCGGAAGCCCAACTCGCGCCTCTTCTTCTCTCACACTTCTTCTCCTGCTGCGTCTGATGCGTCTGATGCTTCTTCCGCTTCGACGGTCACTGGATACGTCTTCTACGTCCGGATGAAGGAAAAGGCGCTGCTGCACAAGCTCTGCGTCGAGGCCGGCCACCGCGGACAGGGGATCGGAGGCTCGCTGCTGGCCGCCGTCGAGGAGCAGCTGCGGCGCGAGGGCTGCCGGACGGTGCATCTCTGGGTCGACGCTGGGCGGGCGGCGGCGAGGCGGCTGTATCAGCGGCGCGGCTTCGAGGAGACCCGGACGGTGCAGGACTACTACGGGCCCGGCAGGACAGGCATCAACATGGTCTTGTCTTTGGATCTGTAGTCTACTTCCAACTATACATACTGTCTATACTGTCTGTCTACTGTACTGTCTACTGTACTGTCTTTGCCGGCTCCCTGTCGGCTGTAAATCTAGACTATACTACATCTAACTACTACCTCTCAATGACATCTACTATCACACTCCATGACCATCTATATTCTTCCGTCCATCTGTCAATGACTATCGCTGTCTACCTCGCTGTCTACCTCGCTGTCTACTTCGCTGCCTCGACTCTGCTGCTGCTGCCAACTAAAACAAACTTTTCACGGCGCACCAAAACTTCGACCTGCAACTTTTCGCCCCGCAAAGCCGACGAAGAACAACCAAGCAAGCCAGCAACAACCACCAGCAGCGACCAGCAGCGAGAAGAACCGGGAACGACGCCAGCAAGAAGACGCCGCCAGCGACAGCAGAACTCGACGGCCCGACGAGCAAGCCAGGTCGAGAGCGAGAGCGAGAGCAGCTAAGTTGTCTGGCCCCTGTCGCTCGCTGCCTGAAAGCCTCCTTCAGCCCTAACGAAACTAACCTCCCTCGACCCAGCAGGCGAACCTGCAGCCAGAACAAACACGACGGCCAGACAGACCACAGAGAGACCACAGAGAGACAGCAGACAGACCGACAGACAGACAGCAGACCGACAGACCGAGCCGCTGCTTACCCTTTGCTCTGCCTATCCGAAGACCTCCCTCCCCCCCGCCGCTCCGCCGCTGCATGAGAGTTTGCGCACCCTGCCATACAGCCTGGATAGACACGACTCGCTGCCGGAACCATGGGACAGACGCTGTCTCAGCCGATAGTCAAGAAGGTACGGTGCCTCTCGCTGCTCTCCCGGGGGCAATAGCCACGGGATCTCGAGAGAATTGCTGCTGACAACCCGCCGCTAGGAGTCCGACGAAGGCGAAGATGAGTGCGTGGTGTACGGCCTCTCCGCGATGCAGGGATGGAGAATCGCCATGGAAGACGCCCATGCTGCCGTGCTAGACCTCCAGGCCAAATACACAGACCTCGACAGGAACAGCAGCAGCAGCAGCAGCAGCCACGGAGCAGGTGGCCCGACGCCGGCGGACAAGCGGTTGTCCTTCTTTGGCGTGTACGATGGCCATGGCGGGGAGCAGATGGCCCTGTATGCGGGCGAGAACGTCCACCGCATCGTGGCCCGGCAGGAGTCGTTTGCCAGGGGGGACATCGAGCAGGCTCTACGGGACGGCTTTCTCGCTACTGACCGGGCCATCTTGGAGGGTCTGTCTTTTTCTTTCACTCTGACACACACACTCTCTCTCTCTCCTTACTACTTTACTTGGTATGCTGACGCTTTATAGACCCCCAGTATGAGAATGAAATCTCTGGCTGCACGGCATCTGTGGCCATAGTGTCAAGAGACAAGATCAGAGTGGTGCGCCATCTTTCTTCTTTGACTTGTATTATACTTCTACTTACATCTGGTAGGCCAACGCGGGAGACTCGAGGTCTGTCCTCGGTGTCAAGGGGCGGGCCAAACCGCTCTCCTTTGACCACAAACCACAGAACGAGGGTACGCCTCTATTTCTACATTCTAGTCCTACTTTGGCTGCACTCCCTCGTCTAACTGTCTGTCTGCAGGAGAAAAAGCGCGGATAAGTGCTGCAGGAGGGTTCGTCGACTTTGGCAGAGTCAATGGCAACCTCGCCCTCTCCCGGGCCCTGGGCGACTTTGAATTCAAGCGCGCCGCAGACCTCTCCCCCGAACAGCAGATTGTCACCGCAAACCCGGACGTTACAACCCATGAAGTCACCGAAGACGACGAGTTTCTCGTCATTGCATGTGACGGTACGCATCATCACTTCTACCATAGCTTTTTGCTACCACTTCGGCTAACAATGCATAGGCATATGGGACTGCCAGTCGTCGCAGGCTGTGGTAGAGTTCGTCAGGAGAGGCATTGCGGCCAAGCAGGAGCTACATCGCATCTGCGAGAACATGATGGACAACTGTCTCTCCTCAGACCCAGAGACCGGCGGCCTCGGCTGCGACAACATGACCATGGTCATCGTCGGCCTGCTGCACGGCAAGACCAAGGAGGAGTGGTACAACACCATTGCAGAGCGCGTGGCCAACGGCGACGGGCCCTGTGCTCCCCCAGAATACGGTGAGACCGCGTCGTTGTCTTCTTCTCTTTCATAGCTTTTTTTTCCCAAAATACATATCCTAACTGCTTTCTCTTCTTCTTTTTCTCTATGATACAACAGCCAGCTTCCGTGGCCCAGGCGTGCGTCCTCAATTCAACGAAGGCTCAGACTATGACTCGGCTGGCCCGGCCGGCCGGTCAGGCAGAATCATCCTGCTTGGAGACGGCACCGAGGTGCTCACCGACATGGGTGACGAGGAGATGTTTGACAGCGCAGACGAAGACAAGGACCTAGAGAGCCAGGTCCGGAGAACCACCGACGCCGATGCTGATGTCGATGCTGATGCTGACGAGGCCGGCGAGACCAACGACGCCGCCGAGACTGAACGGAGGCAGCAGCGAGAAGGCACGCCAGGTCCTCGAGCGGCTTCATCAAACGCCAATTCCGCTGACTCGGCTTCGGTTTCGACGTCCGCTACCTCTGCCCCCATTGCTGCCCTGACCGAATCCCCGCGTGTCATCTCAGCCTCCCCCTTACCAACCGCCGACTCATCCCCGAACTCCGTTTCAGATACCAGGCGGTCGTCGTAGTCACTAACCCCCAGCCCCCATCTCTGCCGCCTCCCCCTTACCTTCACTCTCCCATTTCCCTCCCCCTCTCCCCCTTCTCCTACCCTATCTATCCCATCTCTCTCTCTCTCTCTCTCTCCTCACGATTGCCCGAGTTTGCCTGCTACGTCATGCCATGCTATGCCCGCCATGATATGCTATGCTATGCTATGCTACGCTATGCCATGCTATGAATGGCTGAGGAAAGGGAATCCCATGCTATCTCTATCTATCGCTATCACAATGACCACCGCCGGCTACGTCTGGCTCCGGCTCCGGCTCCAGCTGCACGCAAATGTGTTTAATTACCTTAACGTACTCTAGTTACTTTTTGTTTCTTCCGTCAACAGGCAAATACCTCTATTCTTCACGTAGATCTATCCATTAAACATGGCTTGTCTGCGTCCTGTCACTGCAATTTGGCAGCTATCCGCCAGCAGCAAACCAGCCAGTAACCAGCAAATCTCCCCCGGCCGTAGATCTACAACTAGTTCAAGACTCGAGAGATTTAAAAAAAAAAAAAAAAAAAAAAAAAAAAAAAAAAAACCTACATGGATATTAAATACTAATTGCATGGAACATAAAAGCTGATCCACCGTCGCGCCCCCTGAACAAGAAAAACATTTTCAAACTTGTTTCTGCAGCTCAAACAACAGCTCGCCTTTCGTCCAGACAGCCAGCACACAAATAATAAATACGGCTGCACCACCCATCATCACCGGCAGCCTGCCTTCAATGCTCGTCTAGGCCAGGAGAAGCCGCTAGCTATTCCCGCTCGCTTCCTCCACCGCCATGTCGTCGCCGGCTGCGTCCAAACGCAAGCGGAGCTCCTCGCATCTACACCCGCAGCCCCAACACCAGCAGCAACAGCAGCAGCCAGCAGAGCTCCAGCTGACCTCCCGCGACGCCTCGGGCGAAGAAACAGCTACATGTACGCCGAAGAAGGAGAAAGGCACCGGCATTGCGGCCGTTGCTGCTGCGGCTGCGGCTGCGGAAGTGCCGCCGAGCAAGCGGGCTCGAAGACGGTCAGTGGCAGACGGCGCGTCGACCAGCACCAGCAGCTCGAGGGCAAGGACAAGCAACATCGACCCCGGCGAGCCGTCCGAGACGACGGAGGCGAGCGTCGACATCGAGAACAGGGCCAAGCGGAGGGTGGAAGCGAGACAGGCGCAGGCTCAGGCACAAGCTCAGATGAAGCCAGCTACGCATGCCGGAATCCAGGATCCAAAGGGGTACCATACCAATCCGCCGCCGACAGACAGGCCGGTGAGGGTCTATGCCGATGGAGTGTTTGATTTGTTCCATCTGGGGTGCGTTACAGCTTCTACTACTGCTACTACTGCTATTCCTTCAATGTGCTAACCGGCATACAGACACATGAGACAGCTGGAGCAGGCAAAGACGCTGATTCCAAACACATATCTCATAGTCGGGGTGACGGGCGACGTAGAAACGCACAAACGGAAGGGCCTGACGGTGCTGAACGAGACGGAGCGGGCAGAGACTATCCGCCACTGCAAGTGGGTGGACGAGGTTATTCCCAATTGCCCCTGGATAGTCACGCCAGAGTTCCTGGAGGAACACCAGATCGACTACGTGGCTCACGACGACCTGCCGTACGGCGCGGACGAGGGAGACGACATCTACGCCCCCATCAAGCAGATGGGCAAGTTCCTCGTCACGCAACGTACAGAGGGCGTGAGCACCACCGGCATCATCACAAAGTATTCCCCCCCCCTACCCTTCCCACATCAAAGATATTGAACCCCCCTACTAACGGTTGGGTTGTATAGAGTTGTTCGGGACTATGACAAGTATATAGCTCGCCAGTTCAAGCGGGGGGCTTCACGGCAGGAACTGAACGTTTCATGGGTCAAGAAGAATGAGCTCGAAATCAAACGACATGTCACCGAGCTGCGTAACGCTATCAAGAACAACTGGTCTACTACGGGCCAGGAGCTGAGCAAGGAGCTCCGCCACCTCTGGCAGAACAGCCGTCCTACCAGCCCGAGTCGAGAGGCCGGCCCAAACTGGGGATCTGCTGCGGCCTCCAGGGCTCATCTACATGCTGATCCGCCCAGCAGGCCTGAGAGTCCCGGCGTAGCTGGCCGGAGTGAGGACTTTGCTACGGGCTACTCGCTTGGGCTGATTGGAGGTGTTCGTTCGTGGGTATGTTTGACTTTTCTTTCTTTTCTCTATCAATCAAACAAGCTATTTGATCCGTCATAACGTCTTTCTTTGGCTGACACGTCTTAGATGATGAGGAGCAGGACATCACTGCATAACACGGCCAGCCAGCCTGTGTCACCGTCCGGCAGCGACGAGGAGACTGACCGGCATGCCTCGAGCGCCGCAGCAATGGAGTGACTGTGGCCGGGGCCGTTCTATACTAACTAATAACACTGATGTATACGCTGCTCTACGGCTCGGAGCTCTATATGCTGTTCCTTTTCGAAGACTGTTGCCGGCAGTTGGTTAAGCTCTTTTTCCTTCTTTATTTGTGTAAACATAATACCTTACCATCATGACTAGCAAGATCAATAGCATCATCTTCTTAGTGTCTACCAATATAAAAGATTAGTTTCAATATCTAACAATCTTAAATAACCAATATAGCGGTCTGCTGCATCTAGATGCGCCCTCGGGTAAACAAATCCTTTGCCGAGAATCACCAAATAAATAATTTTCCCGCCTTCAACTATCAATATCAATATTTGAATGCCAAAGCGACCTGTGACCAACAGGACCAAGTCTCCAATTCTACCTATTATACAGCAGCAGGATTGTTCAATAGCCGTATTAAACTGTTGCTGCACTAATAACTAGCTGACTGCCATGTCCGCCGCGGGAGCTTCGAGCTCACCCGCACCGCCGGAAGAGCCTTTAAACGCCGCCAAAGACACTCCCGGCAGCTCCAGCCAAAGCCATGAAGACAGTACCAGCTCGGAAACCTCTAGCAAATTGTCAGGATGGCTGCAAAGGACGCATCAGATGTGGCTGCAGGGAAAAGGCATGTTGCTCGTCCTTCTCGCGCAGTTCTTCGGTGCCACGATGAATGTTGTGGCAAGACTGCTCGAGCAAGACGGACCTCACGGCAAAGGCATGACGCCGTTCCACGTCGGTCTCTTCCTTATTCTACTTCTCTTACTCTCTTGCTGTCTTCCTGCATAGCTAACGGCACCCAGATCCTCCTTGCACGCATGCCCGCAACCGCCCTGTTCAGCTTCATCTACATGTGGTATATGAAAGTACCCGAACCCTTCGGCGCCAGAGCCGTACGGCCGCTCCTGATACTGCGAGGAATCAGCGGCTTCATAGGCGTGCTCAGCCTGTACTACTCTCTCATATACCTGCCGCTATCAGAGGCTACCGTCCTAACCTTCCTCTGCCCCATTGCCTCCTGCTACGTCGCCTCGTTCATCATGCCAAACGAGAAATTCACAAGAAGCCAGCAACTCGCGGGCGTCATCTCGATCCTAGGAGTCATCCTCATTGCCCGGCCGGCGGCTCTTTTCCCCAAAGACCCTCACGCAAAGGAGACCACGGATCTTCATGCCTCAACCCTTCTATTCGACAATACTGTCAAAGATCCCAGTACCAAACAGCATCTGATTGCTGTTGGAGCCGGCCTGGTGGGAGTCATGGGAGCTACATCGGCATATACCATAATACGCAAAATTGGTCCGCGTGCCCACCCGCTCGTCAGCGTCAACTACTTCGCCCTCTTGACCTCGGTGATGTGTCTCCTGGCCGTTCTAGTTATCCCAGGTGCCGAGCTGAGAATGCCAGCAAACATCAACGAGCTGCTTTTGCTCCTTGCCTTGGGTCTCTGTGGCTTTCTCTTCCAGTACCTGGTTACCGCGGGTCTTTCGTACGTACCGCCAAAGATTGACGGGAAACCATCTACACATGGATCTAGTGCTACGTCCATGCTTTACCTGCAGATTGTCTTTGCTCTCTTTTATGACAAGGTGGTATGGAACACTACCCCGTCGTCTACTAGTTTGCTAGGCTCTACCGTCATTCTGCTGAGTGCATTGTATGTGGCTCTTGCGGCGGGAAAAAGTAAAAAGAAGGACACGAGCAGCCAGACGAAGCCGGCAGAAACGCAGAATACCAATGGGAACCATGATATTGAGGACCACCAGGCTTTGCCTAAACCATGGAAAGCTCGGGATCGTGCTTCGGCCAGTGAAGGTGAAACAGAAGCCTTGCTGGGTCAACACAGAAATGATTGATACTAGATCTTATGACTGCTATATAGACAAGCGAAAAAGGAAAGAAAAAGGGCCTACTGAATAGATAATCCATCCATTTAGATGGATTTAAAATATGATATTTACCTGGTTTTGGTGAGATTATACTCTTTATAGTATCTATACACGGGTGTGGTTATACAAAGGTAAAGGTATCTCCCCCTTTTTCCAACAGCATACTTCGAACCCTAGCAGTTCCAACTATCCTCTCTAGCTTCAGAGCATCCCACTTGGAGAAAAGCACCCTGACACTTGGAGTAGTCGCACCGCCAGCGGCAGACCCCAAATACTCAATCAGATCTCCCCAGAATAATGGGTTATCAGGTAGCCCATACATCACAATGTTCGTGACGCCTCGGATGTTATACCGGCGGAAATGATGTGCTCGCTCCGTATATAGAAGCACTGAATGTCGACCATTCATAAAATGACTTCTGGCCCTTGAAGAGTCACGTACAGATGTATACTCTGATATCAAGCCGAAGGATATATTCTCCGTTTGCGAGGAATTAGCAAAGTGGTTCCGAACGCGGACGAAATCAAGATAGGACGGAATGAAGATCAGTGTGCCCCCTGACTTCTTTCGGGATCTTGATTCTGTCGAGCCTCGGGCAAGGCTAGCAAGAACAGTTCGAGTGAAGTACTGGAACCGAGCTTCGGGGTCCTTAAGCGGTGAAGCAGAATCAAAGCGGGAAAAGGTCTGCTTGACGGATATTGGGAGCCGAAGATTCAACATGGCACCCTCATACTTTTGCATAATTTTCGCCTTTCCAAAAACATTTTGCATCTGTGTATTGTAGAGTGCGTTCAGCTCAGGGGTATTAAAAGCTGAGAATACCAGCGTTTGGCGGAGGAACTTGCCGTGTCCATCCAGGTACCATTGTCTCACTCTGCTAAAGTCACAGCCATGTGCTTCTTTTGGCTGAAGATTGAGATTGGAGAAAATGTACTCGACATGGTCCCAGTTTTGCATAATGAGCGCATCTGCATGATCGATAATCACCATCTCAATGGAAGACAAGAAGTCATTCTCGTTTTTCTTCCCTCTATATTGAACACAGTTAGCTATTGCCAGTCACACAGAGCTGAAATGGATACACACCCTTCCTTTTCTATGGCCGTTCGCAAGCCAAGAGGACTCGCGAGAATAATATCAGAGCTATAAAATTTCGAAAAGAATTTAAGTGATTTCCGCGTGAATTTCAAGCCTAGCCGGAACATGTCGTCGTCATTACCTCCAAACAGCTCCTTGAAGTCGTCTGGTTTGTGAGCCCACTCGTCACTATCCGCTGCAGAAAAACTGTCCATGAACCTTTTCTTGTTCTCTTGTTGTTCCATGGGATAAATCTTGGTGAATGAATTGATAACTCGAACGCATGACTGTCGAGTTGGCAGTATTATCAGAACCTTGGGGCGTGTGAAGCCTTGATCTCTGAGCTCAATATCATCGTTATCTTCCCTTGATAAGATAGCACTATTCTTAATCACACGGTCCCTTGTTTTCAAAACATGGTTCAAAGCATGCAAACAGTATAGATCCCGTAGCTTGGCTGAGTTTTGAGTTGTTCGAGAGCAAAAGAGGGTGTCATGGTATCCAAATATGTAAGGGGTCAAGCAGCTATTGAGACGATCAAATGATACAGCATTCCTTGCTAGTTTTTGTTTGAGCTAGCAGTATGTTAGCAATCGAATGGACCAACAAGCTTCCGGGACTAGTTACCTTGAGGTCGGCAGGCGAGGGTGTCGTAGGCAGACTGGCACTTGAAATTCCTCCTGCATTCGGCATAGACACCACAGAATACAGCCCATCAATAAGGTCGCCTTTTGTAGATCTCCATGCTTGTGAGCATGCTTGAATCTTCTGAGATAATTCCGTTTCGTCAGGGTTGCCGAAGTGCAGCTCAAACATGTCGTTTCTACCTATCGAATATCATCAGCCAAAGCGCTGGGCAAGCAATATTCAAGATTCACCAACCATCTGTTCCAAGACCTTCAGCATCATCTTCATCAGGTAAGCCTTCATCATCCATATTTTCGTCCTCAGATGCCGAAGCCTCTGTGTCAGCAACTTCATCCACTTGTTCAATATCATCTGCCGTAGGTATCGAGACCTCCACCGAGTTTGTATCTGGTTCATTGGCCTTTATCTTTCGTTTCTTTCGAGCCGGCTCATTGGAATTTGCACCGGTATTCAGTAGTTTCAGCAGAGTGCTATACGAGTTCTCCTTCGGTGGTTCGTCGAGGCCACTCTCGGAGGACACATCAGACCCTTCGCTATCGTTCATATCTTCGGCCGGCTCAATATTTACAACTTCTTCCCCTTCTGAAGACTCATCTTCACTATTATATCAGTTAGTATAGTGTCCAGACAGTACACAGTAGCTCGATTTCCTACCGGACATTCTTGAGCCGGGAGGTCTCAAACTTGCGCCCTCTACCCCGGCCAATTTTAGATCCTCTGCCTCGATGGCCTCCGCCTCTTTTATGCTGAATCGCCATAGTGCCAGGCCTCTGAATCAACTAGCAAGCCAACTTTAGTAGCTCAGTGCAGAGATGCTCTTCAATTGACAGCTGTCTTCTTGTTGACTTTTACAGCTTTTTTTTTTAAATATTTTTTAAGTTTACTTTTCTGATCTCGATCTTATCTTATCTAAGCGTAGAAAATTTCCGCCACACACAAATAACGAACATGTCGAAGAACGAAGACGACGCAGAAGACGAACCTTGGTTGAATCGCATCGCCGCCAACCAGAAACACCGACTAAGGACGATACTACCTGTTCCTCTTGCAATCATGGCTGACACCGGCTCATTTATCCATATTGCGCGGCCTCTGGGACCAGCCACCGTAGGAGTTGCGCCCACCACTGCCCCTCTCAGCGTTATCATACAGCCCCAGGTAAGCGGAAAACAGCACAGCAAGCAGACACAGGATACAAGGCACATATGCTGATGGGAAGCGGTTTATAGGCTATCTTCTCTATCCTCGACCACTCTCTCCGACGCAATGCCGACCAGGAACGAGTTATCGGCACCCTACTTGGCACTCGATCTGAAGACGGGACTGAAGTCGAGATCCGGACCTGTTTCGCTGTTGGCCACACAGAGACGACTGACCAGGTCGAAGTTGATATGGAATACCAGAAACAGATGCTCTCTCTTCACCTGAAGGCCAACCCCAAGGAGGTTCTCGTGGGATGGTATGCCACCTCGTCGGAGCTCAACACATTTTCCGCTTTGATTCAGAATTTTTACGGCGGACACGGTGATGGAACATGGCCTCACCCAGCTGTCCATTTGACGGTTTCCACCGAACCCGGAAAGGATATTGTGACTAGGACATACATCTCTGCGCCGGTTGGTGTCACAACGGAACGTGCAGCAGATAGTGCAGCATTTATACCCGTGCCATACGAGATCAGATATGGAGATGCAGAGAAGAACGGTTTGGAGGCAATTGCGGCAGCTCGGGATAGGGAAGACCGGGCGACAAATCTCTTCACAGATATCGACAGCTTAGAGAGATCTATTGAGGAGGTTATTGGTATGATTGACCGTGTTTCCAGATACGTGGAGTCGGTTATGGACGAGGAGGCGCCAGCTTCCACAGCTCTTGGCCAGTTTTTGCTCAACGCCCTTGCACTCGCACCAAAGGTGGATGCTGCCGAGATTGAAAGTGACTTGTATGTGCTCAAGTTCTTTATTCTTCTATTTTACCTACAAAGTCGAACTATAAAAACTAACCCCTTGACAGTAACAAACACATCCAGGACGTCCTTGTGGTCTCATACCTTGCTAACTCCATTCGTACACAAATGGAGCTTTCCAACCGGCTTGCAACTGCCCAGCTTACCCTTGGAGGAGGCGGTGAGGGTAATGCGACTGGAGGCAACGCTGGAGAATCCGGTGGTCAGCGCGGTCACCGATCCAACAGAGGTCGAGGTGGCCAACGAGGTGGTGCTCAAGCCGAGGAGCTGCGAGCTTAAAGAGAAACGAGACAGTCGCCAGAATGTTCTTCACCTTTACCAGGTTTCCCCAGTCTTAACTGTAGTTATGGAACTGGCAGGCCGTTCGATAAATTTACTTTTGGAGTCGTGCTTCACGTCGGTTGTGGGAAAACGAAGGCGTCTTTGGAGTTATGATTGCATTATGTCCATGATTAATGGGGCTTTTTAATCAGGTAGACGAATGAAACGAATTCCTGTTTCTGTCATATACTTGGTGTTCGAGGGGCCGATCAGTAACCAGCGCTGATCGCGTGGCGTGTATGCTCAATCTGCCGGCACGATTATATCCGGTATAATGCATTCCTGGAATAGTTCCGAGATGTTAATTCATCCCTCTTTTCTAGAGGATGGTAAGCCAGGGTATGAGATGCAGTTAGGTAGTATGCATCATAGGTAGCAGATTTTTGTCCTGGCATGTATTTGTTTGCATGCTCGTTGATCCAGCTGAGCAGTTCCGCAGGCCATATGAAAGACTTAACAATAGTCGGAGGCATATTGACCAAGGAAGGCACGTTTATGTAAAGAAACCATCAAAAGAGGCTACCTTGCGCTTCTTTCCTGTGCCATTACCAGCCTGGTCAGCCGGGGGTTGTCTCTTCTTATACTTTCCTCGCTTGCCTCTGGGCTTCGGTCCAGTGGTGCCGTCTTTCGCGAAGCTGTCATCTTGTGCGCCAGCTTCGCCTGCTAGATCCGCCAGTTCTGCTTTAGATGACTCCTTTAAGTTTCCACCCAAGCGATCATCATTCTGATCAAAGGCCTTTCGAGCCTCTTTAAGCTCGCGTTCTAACCGGAACAACTCCTGAACACGGCCAAGCTTAATAGGATCTCGACGTAGAATGAAGCGAAAGTCATCTGATTTAACTTTCTGGCGGTTTGAATAGTTGGCGACCTGGGCTGCTTCGTGGCAAGTCTCAATAACGAAGTCTGTTACAATCTCATCGAGGACGCGAACCGTCTCAGGGTTGGGTTCCTGAGGGTAGCTAGAATGAGGAGTAGTGTCGCCGTAGGCGTAAAGGAATTGACGAACTGTACAGTACGACTGTTAGCAGCGAAAACAAAAAAGAAATCGTCTCAGTAATGCCATACTCTCAGGCCCGAAGCTCAGTTGGCCTTGATGCCGTGTCAAGCGAACCCTCGGTTCTGACATTGTTGCTCGCCTCTGCTCCCCGTTTCTAGTCTTCGGTCGGATTGTCCGTCGGTTAGTACACCGTTTTTGAAGCAGGAAGTAAATACAATATTCCCTTCGCCCGAAGTCTTCCGAGCAAAGCTGCTCTCTGTGTTGTTGATGTTGCCGATGGTGAGTGATCAAGACGAAGTCGAGAAGCGACAAAGCGCTTGCTCGACAAGCGCGCGTCTAATGTTTGCCACGTGACCACCACTTCAGCCACTGTCGACTTTCTTGTTGAGCGCAGCAGGCGCAGACAAGTAATGCATCGCCGGCACGCAGTTTAATTCTTAGAACATAGAGGCTCTACCGGACAGTCATGGTATGCTGGAACCTTCGGGATAATCTATACTAGTTTAAAAGGCGTTTTTATCTGACAATATCCCCCAGGCTGCCCTCTTCAATTTCCAATCACTTCTACTAGTGATTCTCCTGATTATCTGTACAAGTACTTATGCGCACAGCATAATGCCTGGAATCATGGACCGCCATCAGAATGGGTAATATGAATGCTTACTCCTAATAGTAATGATCTTGCTAACTTCCACAGGTTCTTTGGTATATTCTGGAAATGCGCCAGGGTGGGCGAGAGATTAAGTCCATATGTTAGCATTTGCTGCATCATCATGGCTGTAAGTGTTTCCTTGAATCGAGGTTACATGGTATTTCTGACCATTGTGGTTTAGATATCCCTCTTTTTCGGAAACTAGTCAACTTTTGCATCTTCTTATGGGGTTATGTTTTTATGTTCTCTTATTTTGTAATTGGCGCGTTCGAGGAAAAAGGAGTAACTGCAACTTTTAGACAAATCATGAAACCTGCTTAAATCTCTACGAAACTTTGACTCGCGCAAACGGTAAAGGAGAATACTACAAAGAACGCCCCGTTGTATATTGATCATCTATTCGTTTCAATTATTTATTGCGTCGTATAATGCAATATGTCTATAGTACAATATTGACTAGATCCGGGTACTATTCAAAAAGCGCTATCTATACATCAGCATCTCTCACTTCTTGGTGGCAAGCTTAGATTTCTCCAACTCAGACTCGTTGGCGTCTAAACGATCAAGGAGAGTCCGTAGCAACTCTTGGTTCTCAATGAAACCTAAAGCCTTAACGGTATGGCCATCGGGGCTCCAGGACTGCCTCTCCATCTCTTTGAGTGCTTTAGCCGCTGCTTCGACCATTTGGTTACAAGCATATCCTCGGATTAGTATGTTCCAGGCAACATCATTAATCTCCACCCCGCGCTCTTTCATCGTTTTGTAAAGACTCTCCGCAGCCTGCATTTGATTATGAGAAATTAACGTGTTCAGTAAGATTGTCCATGTTCGTTGCGATGGTTGAGCGGGCCGGACCGGAACTGGACCGCTGTGATGGGCTTTCATCGTTTGAACAGCTACTTCAGGTAGAGGCTGAAGCATGTAATTCAGAATCTTGAAACATTTATATATCATTTGAGGTTCAAAGCGAAGTGCCATGAGAAAGCTGTTAAAGACGTAATCTGTTGAAATTAGAGGCGTGATCATGGCGTGTCCGCTGGCCACCAATGCTTGGAATCGTGTAAAGTATCTCCAAATTTCGTCAGCGCGAGGCCGCGTCCTTAGGTGTGCGGTGATCATAATATTAAGAGCCTGACTCGAAGGTGGAGATTTGCTTGCTGAAAGCAGTTCATCATTCTGGCTGCGTGGTATAAGCCCTAGATCAACTAGTGGTTGTATTTGATGCGACTTCTTATAAACGTCAAGCATTTTATGAAATGATTCCATTGATCCTTTCCGGCCAGGGCTTGAATTATGGGGAAACAGAAGCATTGCGTGCAATGTTTTGCTGACAAGGTGTGGTTGTGTGGATAGAGAGTCGACTTTGGCAATTTTGCTGAGTACATGGTCCACCTTTTCGTGGTCCCTGAGGCGAACAGCATGGTGCAATATTGAAAGGTGAGTATACGAGTCGGGCGTTACCCCCTGGTTTTCCATCAATTGAACTATCTGCAGCGCAGTGTCCAGGTCATCCGCTCTCAAAGCATTAGACACCACGATATTGAAAATAGACAAATCAGGCTGCACTCCCATCCGTAGTATCCTTGGCAAGATATCAAAGGAAATGGTACCATCATCTTGACGAGTGTAGCGATCTAACTTTAGAAGGTTGCAGCAGCGATCCGAAATCTTCTGATACCTGACAGGCTTTTGGGATTCAAATCGCGTTATAAGAAGGCGTAGCGAAGTTAACGCTGCTGGAATGTCCCCATTCTTAGTAAAAAGGTCAGTGAAGTAAAACAAAGTCTCCAGGGAGAGAAACTTCTGGTTTCTGACAACATAGTTGAAGCACTTCACGAGGTTATGGTGTTCGCAGTATTTGAGGTAGAGCCGAAACCCGGTCTGTGAGTCTCTCGACAAGTAAGGGAAAACTTCAGGGCGGAGGCAGTGCTGTAGAGTACGAGTATATCTGCTTTTCAGTTTTGGGGAGTCCTGGAATTCCGCAACATGAAATCTTTCAAGAAAGATAAAACAGTCTGCAACCATGGGAAAGGAAGGAGAAAACCGGGTTGTCGTCGCCTCTAAAAAGCGCAAGGCTTGTGTCGGGGAATGTAGAAGAAGCCATAATATCATAATCGGCCATCGCCTTGCAGCTTCAGTTCGGCAAAGACGCCGCCATCGTGCAGAAGGAGGGGGGTCGGTGCGAGGAGAACTTAGTATACTCTTGATCCATCGACGCACGACTTCAGAGTCTTCTGTACTCAACAATCTCCAAGTTTCTGATACTGGTACATTTCGGCGCTTATGATCATATAGTGTTTTCAAGTTCTTCTTCCAACTTGGATGAATGTGTGTGAGCGGATAGAGAGACATTTCTCTAACCAAATATTCACTAGGATGAACGGCAAGGTCTCCATAGGATTGGATACTCGCACACTCACTTTCGATCTCCCCACGAAGCTGCCGTCGTTTTGGTTGTGACAGGTTATAGCCCTTTAAATACCTCAAAGGAGCACTTATGGGAGGAGCAACGCTATGGGCGGGTTTAGATTGTTCGTTCACACGGGACATAGGTGTTCGCTTGCTTTGGGGTATATCAATATGCCGGTGCTGTGGCTGCCCATTCTGTTCGTGATGACCAGTTTCCTCTGACTTTCGCCGTCTTGCTAAGCCTTTCCGCATGGAGGGTGATTCCGAGTCTCGATGGGTTCTATTAACGATCCGTTCCGGAGGCGGCAGCCCGGAGTCTGGCTCGTCGTAGGTGCTTCTGAGACTGGTAGCATATCTCGACGAGGGTGAAAGAGAAGTGAACTGTTTCCGCACAATTAATGCATTCGACAGTATCCAGGCAGAATCAGCATGGGCAACAGTCGACAGAATACCGAATAGCTGCAAGCGTAGGCCTGCTTTCCCGCCGCCCAGAGGGCTCATAACTCTGTCAGGCCTCTTATGGAGCTGCTGCCCATAACTTGAGAGATGGGATTTGTGGGCATATATAGGGTAGGAGTGTCCGGAGAGCTCTGGTAGTCAAGTCCGATCCAGAATATCGATGTATAAGTGTGTAGACAAGTTTGTATCGCAAGGACTCTCGTCCGTGAGTGAATCACTTCATGTCAAGATGTTTCTGCGATCTTCGGGACAAAAAAAGCTGCGATGTCAAAGATGCTAAAAGAGGAAAGTTTGCATCCGACGTCTCTTTAGCAGCGATGCAAACATCAAACAATCTCCAACCTTTCGCGAACTTTCAAGGAGAAACAAAAAATCCAACCAGCCATACCCAGGACGAATACTTTCTTCCAGGCACAAACAGACGTCTGGATATCATGTCATCCTCTCATACGACGCTAGACGCGGCTGCTGCGGACCGCAAAGCTCGTCTTGCGAAATTAGCATCTCTGAAGAGACAACGAAGTGAGACAGAAAGCGAGCCAACGGACCAGAAGGATTCGGCTGGCACCTCAACGTCCAAATACCTGTCTGGACGAAACTACGACTGGGAGACTAAGGGAGCGAAGCTTGGATTCGAAAATGACCCTTCTCAAGGTGCAACAACGTTGGAAGACAAGGCAGCTGAGATAGCAGCAGCAACAGCGCAGGCAGCTCAGGAGAACGAAGACGCAGAGAAACCCATTGACCTATTCAATCTACAACCAAAGAAACCTAACTGGGACCTTAAACGAGACCTTGAACAAAAGATGAAGATTCTGGATGTCAGGACGGATAATGCAATAGCTAAGCTTGTGAGACAACGGATACAGAATTCCCAGGCCGCAGCTACGGCGGCGGGTACGCGTGGGGGTGACGTAGACGGAGAGTCCGCTGGAATCGACGGTGAAATGCTTGTGCAGAGAATACATACCCGCGAACGGGAGGAGGCAGAGCAAGATAAGGGGGAAGACTGGAGTTAATAGTTAACTCGCGCTGAATGGATTACCTCTGGACAAGATTTCATTGTGATACCACAAACATTGGGGGATTTGGTAGTGATTACGAAGAATACTTGACCGGAGGCCTTTGATCATTGAAATGAAATATTTGAGGACTATCTACCCTGCGCATTCATGGCCTGTGTGAGAGCAAGGCGTTTGCTATATGGGCTTAGGCTTCTCTGCCTGGGGGGAGAATTATTCCGCACAGGCGGCCTTGGGACATGGGGACGACTTTGTGCCCTATCACGCGAACCTGGCGTACCATGCCTGCTATCATCGTCAATAGATCTTTCTCGTCCCCGGTATGCGCGCCTGCTACTGCGTGATACGTCGTCTCTGGATCTAGACCTGTCGTGGCGTCTGTATGGCTCAGGAGAATGTGAATAACGAGAGCGTCGATGCCGACGAGCGTTGTGATCATCATGTTGATGTCTACTACCTCTTGATCGCCTATTAGAAGTATCGGACTCTTCACCTAGTCCATCCGTCCCTGACCTCTGTCTTCTGGAAAGGGAACGAACGCTGGGCCGTGAAGGCTGTGGATCCTGTCTTGCACGTCTGGGAGGCGGGGGCGAAGGCGAACGGTTGGTTGATATCGTTGATACTGACGAGTACGAGGATACCGACCTAGCTCTCTTCCGTGAGCTTCGGAGAGCATCTTCGTAGTCACTCTCTCTATGTGGGCTCCGACTGGAGCTCAGCCTTGCCCGTTCCTCCTTTGCTCGACGCAGCTGCTCATCAGCAACCCCTTTACTATGTAATATCAGTTAGCTGAAGCACCCAATAGAAACAGATTCTAGCTGTCGTGTGCTGTGACATACGTCCTTAGTAAATCATTTGGCACCTCCGTCGACAACTGTGGCCGCAGCCGTGGGTTCGAAAGCTGCTGCGTCCTCGACGGACGAGCACCGTACGGCCTCTCCTGCAGTTGTGTAGTGCATTCGTAGCTGTAATGGCTTAAAAGACTGTCAGCTCAGGCTGCATATTCCAAAGCTCTCAGAGCTGGGCCGGGGGCAACCTATCTTTCTTCAGGCACTTCTGGCAGACGGTCGTCGGGGTCGCCTTTGACGGAGCAGCCCGCCCGGGTATATTCCTGTACCTGTTCATCTCCTCTCGCCCGCCGTGCTGCGCTGCTTCTTCGTCCTCTGGCGTTTGTTCGGTCTCCATCAATTCCGCCGTCGCCGTCTCTATTTTTTGATGTCGTGCAAAGGCCATGATGACTCAGCAGGAGCCCACAGCCAAAAAAGCCGCCTTTCGTTCTCTTCTTCTTCACTTGCGATTCTCCAAGTCGAAGAACTTCAGCGTCGCCGTCGCCCATCGTCTTCCCTGCGCTGCCTCAGCCTGTACACGGAACTACTCGCTCAGCCGACCCTCTGCGTACGCCTGGCGTGGTGTTTGTCGGACTTGGGCCACTTTTGCTGCACTCTACGTCCGCGACTCTACATCCACGCCCACTCAGCCCCCCCGGTTCCCCATAACTAGGACGGAAGCCTCTGCGCGAAGGACCCCAGTCGAGACCCGTTGGATGGTTGGAATAACGGCTGTGGATTATCTATGAACTCATTATTCATGCAGGGTCTTGAAGCTCAGAGATATGTCGTCACCGTATCTGGGCTTGTGCATCCTAGCTTTTCTTAGAGATATTGTTTCTATCCCCTGATTCTCTATCAGTTGATATCCATCTACGTCGGTGATACGATTGCTCGGCCTTCTATCAATATCTGCCTTTCACATGGCCGCCGGCCTTTTTTTATTGCAATGACAACAAGGCCAGGTGAACCCTGTAGTCGACCATCGTTTGCAAAGGTAGGTTTTTTAGTACTAGGGGAGGTTGATTGCAGCTGTTTCTGTTAATGCTAACGTCATTCCTTTGCTCGTTAGATTGCTGCCATGCATTCTTGTACTGAATCAGAGCCCCCCAAGACGCAAGGCCGTGATGAAAATTCTGATAACTGCTCGTTGGCCCAGTTGAACGCGAACTCCAATACCCTTCCGGCTCAAGATGACCAGAGTACAGCTACGCACGAAATTAAACCAGACAAAGATGGTGATGGCCTGATTGGATCATTGGATAATCTCCATTTGTCCAAGGACGAAGAAGGGAGGCCTATACCGGAGACTGCCGGTGGTGCCCAAGAGGATGGGCAGCCACGAACGGACAGTTTGTTTGACGATGATCAAACCCATCTCTCTAATTCATCCACAAAACCCACCAGCTTCGATTCTAAAAGCATGGCTTCTGTCACTACCTTTGCCATGGATGAGAAAGAGTCTTTACGACCGGATGACAGTGCCAGTGTTCAGGCCGTAGAAGAAGATGAATTTCTCGCTCCTACCACGGATGTGATGAACTCCCAGGCTAATTCGGATCCATCTACATCAAACCGTGGTGACTCACAGCAGCACAAGAATGCATTACTACGTGAATCAGAGCTGTTGAAGAAAAGCACATTACCATTCAACGAAGATGCTTTACGTAGAAATGGAGTACTCCCAGCACCGGAGGGTGAGCAAGTCCTGCATGGTTTTCCAAGTGAGCCGGATGAGAAGCTCGTAGAGGCCATGGGATCTCCAAAGGACCGTCTGCTACTCCTTCAGCTAGAGGAGAAGATTATTTCTTTCATCAAGAACTCAAGGTAAGTAGCCTTATTCTACCCTAGCTGTTTACCGATCAAGCTAACTGATTGCTACAGTGAAGCTTCACTGGAATTGCCACCGTGCAACTCGTTTGGACGATTACTTGCACACAAACTGGGTGACTATTATCATCTCACACATTTTGTCGACAATAATGTTACTTCCGTTCGCCTTCATCGGACTCCATGGAGCAGACTGTGAGTAATGCTAAACATCACTCATGGCGTATCTTCAAAACTAACCGAGGACAGGCCAACTCCATTAACGATGTTACATCCTGGTAATTCAAACAACCCGTCTGCAAACGCGCCTACTATGAAGATTATGCGCCGTATGGGCCAGCCAGGGGAGAGGGGCTCAGCCGCAGGGAGCACTGCAACGAGTTCGGCTGTTCCTTCAAAAACCGCTTCCGAATCAGGAGGAGATGGAACCAATGATGAAGACCGAAATGGTGGCACATCATCGACTGGAGCTACGCCATCCAGAGATCGTGCCAGTTTAACGAGAGAAGAGCGTGAAGCTAAGTATCAGGAAGCACGAGAGCGGATATTCAGGGACTTCCCTGAATCCAAGTCCACTGATACTGGCAGCGGGGAACAAAGTGCCGATGTGTCGAGATCAAGCTCTAGGACAGGACGCAAGAAGGTACCCAAGCCCAGGTCCCCCAAGGACGATGGCTTTGAGGCTAGATCACAGTTCAATGCGTACTATACATCGCCTCAGCTTCCGGGCGGACCGGCGGTATACCATAACAGTGCTCACCACGGCGCAATACCGCCTCAAAACTATTATGTCATGGCTCAGAATCCTCCTGGTGGTGGGATGCATCATTACCCCCAGCAGATGAGCCCTTCTGGTCATGGACCCATGTATGCTTCATCCGGTGGTATGAATGGGTTCCCTCCTTATTCTGGACCGCAAACGCACTCAGGACAGAACAATTGGCAGCAAAGCGGCGGCCACCAAGGGTACAATCAATATCCACACCACCAAGCTCAGGTATCACCCATGATGGCCCAGCGTTCAGCCACTGTCCCATCACCAAGGGCACCCGCGTATTCCGCCCCTAACCACTCACAGTACTCACAACCGACTCCAGGCTGGACACCCACCCCTTTCCAGCCCGGATACCCTCCTCAGATTATGGCGCGTTCCCCTCCAGTCCACTGGCCAAACATGCCTCCCAATGCAATGGCAGCCGGTCAGGCTCCATACAACCAGGGTATGGGCTCCCCACAGCCCTTCATTCCTAGCAAACCTGCCCATCCGGCTCCAGGCAGCTTTTCTCGTTCGCGGTTCAGTCCTCAAAGTAGATCGCTTGCTCCAACAAGTAATTCACAAGCTGGTTATTTCGGTGGTGATTCCCCATCTTCTCAATACGCCAGTCCGCATTTCAATAACCATCCGCGCTCAAATTCCAGGGATTCAAAACCGGGGATGAACCCTTCTCCTCCATCACACTACTTTAAATCCAAAGGAACTCCACCCAACATGGTGGGCCAGCCTCAGCAGCAGCCAACTTACGGAAGACAGACTGACACCCAGACTCATGACTCGATCGCCAAATGGGGCACTCCATCCCATCTACCACCCAAGCCACCGCCTCCTGAAACTCCCTATCCTTCTGACGCTACCAATTCCAATCGCCCTGTTGGCGTCACCTCTCCTCCACTAGCGTCTAAACTACCGCCGTCCGAGACGAAAACCGCCCCGTTCGTGGTGTCTGGCGCTTCCAGCAGTGAGAAACAGCCCCATGGCAACGCTTCTTCATGAGACTACTCAAGGGAGGTATAATAGTATTCTGTTCTAAAAGGGGCTACCGCTCTTGTTTCTAGTATTTCAAGACCGTTTGGCCATCCGTTGTACCTTGATATCTCTTGCATTTTCTTCCCTGCTCCCTATGTGGACTTAGCTAACTAGTCTCCCTGGCATGGAATTAATATAGTCAGTAGAACAAAAGCACTTTTGAATATAACTATACTTCTACTATCTGTCTAAACCATCATCTTAGTATATTGACTATCACTGTTGCCTGTCTGCCGTTGTCATGTCACTTACCCAGCTTTGTTGCTTGGAGGTAACGTGATCTGCCACTAAAAGTCATTATTATAGCATCACCTTTTTTTTCCCTTTTATGTGAAGATCTCAAACTTGACTTTCTTGACTGACAGCTCTGTCGCTACCTACCAGCTACCTCTGTGCCCCGTTTGTTCAATCAACTTGCTTCCAGAGACATTGTTTTATATAGCGTAGCCTATCCTATAGCTTTTGGCCACGTGAATCAAGCGTATCCTCCTCGCCATGGCTAGCACTGCAGAAGATGTTCCCGCGGAGCCTATAGACAACCAGGAGAAAGCTGGAGATGATGAAGTACGCCTTTCGCTATCCATGCCTATCAAGACTAGGAAAGCTAGAGCTAACCATGTTCCTGTAGGAAGAAATTGCAGCGATGCGAGAGAGACTGACAAAGATGGAGTCAGAAGCAGCCAAGCTGCATGAGATGCAAGCTTCCCTGGACCAGCAGACGGAGAACCTACGAGAAGACAAGGAGGACATCGACGCGAGGAGTATCTTCGTCGGCAACGTCGACTACGCGGCCTCGCCAGAGGAGATACAGGCACACTTCCAGAGCTGCGGGTCGATAAACAGAGTCACCATCTTATTGGATAAATTCACTGGCCATCCAAAGGGGTTTGTCTCCCCCCCTAGATATTTTGACCTTTCTTGTCTTTTGAGATATACCTGAGCGGTCTGCTGCCTGGCAAGAGAAGGAGACTAATGGAGCGCTGCAGGTATGCGTATGTCGAGTTCAGCGAACCCAGCCTTGTGGCGCAAGCTCTAGTGCTGAACGAGAGTCTGTTCCGTGGGAGGAATATAAAGGTGTGTTATTCCACATGAAGACGAAAGAGTGCAGATGCTAATAAACCGAGCCAGGTTGTCCCGAAACGCACGAATCTGCCGGGCATGACTCGTGGACGGGGCCGTGGACGAGGCCGCGGAGGGTTCGGCCGTGGCATGCCCCGGGGAGGATACCGAGGAGGCGGCTACCGTGGCCGTGGGAGAGGTTATGCTCCGTACTAAAATCCTCTTATCCCTCCGCGCTGACCTCGACCTTGACCTCCAATCCTTACCTTGACTTTGACTGGATGACAATAAAAAACTGGGACTAAACAGGCCATCTCTGGTTTGAATGTGACCTATCTGGAGTTGGGAAATGCTTGTATGATACGGCGATAAAACGGGTAACAGCCTTATTTTTGCACTCTTCTTCTTCCGCGTTCTCTTCTCCTTTGCTCCTTTTCTCCTTTTCTCCCTCTCGTTCTTCCCCTGACCTTATGCATTGCCATCCTCTCTGTCCTGACTATAGGCCTTCCATCACAGTCAAGCTGTCCACCACCACCACCACCTCCTCCTCCTCCTCCTCCTCCTCTCTCTTCTCCTCCCGCTCTGCCTCCTCCGCTTCTACTACTTCATCACCGCTTCTATCCTCCCCTTTGATGCTCTTTTTCCATCTGCTTTCCCACCATCTTTTCATCGAGTCTTTTCCTTTTTTTTATATCAGAAAGAAAAACAAGCTACGTCACATGTTCACGCTAGTCCTGATCGGGAAATCTTTCTTGTTCTTTAAATCTAAAAATAAAATGCCATAAAATACAAAGTAAGAAGAAAAAGACATCTTGCAGCCTCCCAGCGCGGTAGAAATAGAAGACGACGAAGAGCAGAAGAAGCGCGCGTCCTGCTTGTCTAGCTGTCCGAGTATTGACCTGCTGGCCGGGTGTGGGGGATTGCCACCAAAAAAGAAACCAAGCGCCCTTGTCCTGCTCAGCCTCCGGCGGCTGCGCCTCATCTCCATCGCTCACGACCCGACCAGACGAGACAGCAGCGAAGCAGCGAGACAGCAAGACACCAGCTGCAACTCTGGCCTGTTCTCTACAGTTGTGACAACCCCGGCGAGCTCCCGATAGTCCTCTCGTCCGTTCCTGTTGCTCTGCGGGCAGCTGGTTGATGCTACCCCCGAGGTGAAGCCGGCAGTCACCAAACCGCGGGTCTGTCCTGTGTGTGTGAGCAAAGATGGGCTCCAACTTGCCAGCGTAAGTGATGGGCAGCCGGCCCTGCCGCCCTCTCCCGGGAGCTTCTACCTGTTGCTGTTTCGATTCCGAGTGAACAAAGGACTGATTGTTGTTTCTTGCAGGCAACCGAACTTGAGAGTCACCAGTAAGAGAGATGTCTGCCCCGCGATACGTTAGCTGCTGCTAATACATACCCTCCGCCCCCTGCAGTTATCGCCGCTGATGGACTATACAAACGAGATGTCTTTCGTGAGTTGGGACCCTGCTTCTACTGTCTCGGTACAGACCTAACAGGCTGCATGTGTAGGCTTCCCCGATCCGTTCGCGGTTGCTACCGTTGGTGGTGAACAGACTCATACCACCTCCGTCATCAAGAAGACCCTGAACCCATACTGGAATGAGATGTTTGACTTGTAAGGGGGAACCTGTTTTTCATACTTCTGGTACCCTTCACTCGGCTGGATTGGATGCTGACGCAATGCGCAGGAGAGTCACCGAGGACAGCATACTCGCCATACAAATATTTGACCAGAAAAAGTTCAAGAAGAAGGACCAGGGGTTTCTGGGAGTGATAAATATCCGTATCGGTGATGTTATCGATCTTGCTATCGGTGATGATGGTACTTCTACTCTTTCATTTTCCTATTTCACCTTTACCCTGTCTTTTGGTACCGTTTGATAGTGAAGAGAGCTTAACCCAGCTGACATCTTTACCCTAGAAATGCTTACCAGAGATCTCAAAAAGTCAAACGATAATCTTGTTGTTCATGGCAAACTCATTCTCAACCTCTCTACAAATCTATCTACGCCGGTTCCCACATCGCAAACCGGAGCTTCACGCCCTATCAACAACAATCGCACCTCAACATCACCTATTCCCGCCTCTCAGACGACTACCACCTCCTCAGTTTCAACACCTTTGACTGGACCGCGCCCAACTTCAACAGCTCAGGAGCCGGTAGTCAATAACTCCAGCTCTCATTTGGTCCCTACACACCCCTCCTCTTCCTCAACCACAGCCGTGGCGCCGCTTACTACCTCACCTCAACAACCCACTGTTCCAGTCCGAGCAAATGTAGGCAGTACCTTTGAAGACAGCCAGGGCAGGCTGCCCACCGGCTGGGAGCGGCGAGAGGATAACCTGGGGCGAACTTATTACGTAGACCACAATACCCGTACCACCACTTGGAACCGGCCGGCGCAAAACTACAATGAGCAGACGCAGCGGACTCAAATGGAGGCCAATATGCAGATGGAGCGCCGAGCCCATCGGAGCCGAATGTTGCCAGAGGATCGAACAGGTGCAAACTCGCCTGATTCCCAGCAGCAGGCCCGGACGCCACCAACAGCTCCAACAGCGAACGCAGTAGCAATGATGGCTAGCAATACCACTACCCCTGGTACAGGAGAGCTTCCTTCAGGCTGGGAACAGCGGTATACCCCTGAAGGCCGTCCGTATTATGTTGACCATAATACTCGAACCACAACCTGGGTGGATCCCCGCCAGCAGCAGTTGGTCCAGATGTATGGTCCTGATAACGGGAACCATCTTGCATCCCAAACAGTAAACCATCTGGGTGCACTGCCGAGTGGCTGGGAGATGCGGTTAACAAACACTGCCCGTGTGTACTTTGTGGACCACAACACTAAGACAACTACCTGGGATGATCCCCGGCTACCGTCTTCCCTCGACCAGGGTGTGCCACAGTATAAGCGTGATTTCCGGCGCAAATTGATATATTTCAGATCCCAACCTGGTCTAAGAATAATGTCTGGCCAATGCCACGTCAAAGTTCGACGTGGTGCCATTTTCGAGGATTCTTTTGCAGAAATAATGAGACAAAGTCCGGCAGACCTAAAGAAGCGTTTAATGATCAAATTTGACGGAGAAGATGGATTAGATTACGGTGGTCTTTCAAGGTATGCACTATCTTATCCCTTTACCCCCTTTTTACTTGAATACATTGCGACCTGCTAACACCGTGTAGAGAATTTTTCTTCCTCCTTTCTCACGAAATGTTCAATCCGTTCTATTGCTTATTTGAATACTCCGCTCATGATAATTATACGCTCCAGATAAACCCGCACTCAGGTATCAATCCCGAGCATTTGAACTATTTCAAGTTCATCGGCCGCGTGGTTGGTCTGGCCATCTTCCACCGCCGGTTCCTTGACTCTTTCTTCATCGGTGCTTTTTACAAGATGATGCTACGAAAGAAAGTTACCCTTCAGGATATGGAGGGTGTTGATGAAGATTTCCATCGCAATTTGACGTGGACGCTGTAAGGATGCACACACACTCTACTCTCTTTTGTCCTGTGGCAATGCTGACTGACTCTTACTTGCTAGTAATAACGATATCGATGGTATAATTGAACTTACTTTTTCGATTGATGATGAGCAATTTGGCGAGCGCAGGACAATAGATTTAATCCCAGATGGAAGAAATATCCCCGTTACAAATGAGAATAAGAAACAATACGTGGAGTATGTTCCGTGTCATTCTTCGTTGAATAGTAATTGTCAGATGCTAATAGTCTCCTCAGGCTAGTGACAGAGTGGAAGATTCAAAAGCGAGTAGAAGAGCAGTTTAACGCATTCATCACCGGATTCAACGAACTTATACCCGCCGAACTCGTCAACGTCTTTGACGAGCGAGAACTTGAGCTTCTTATCGGCGGTATTGCTGACATCCATATCGATGATTGGAAGAAACACACCGACTACCGTGGCTACCAGGAGGACGATGAGGTAATCCAGAACTTCTGGAAGGTAATAAGAAGTTGGGATGCCGAGCAGAAGTCTCGATTACTCCAGTTCGCCACCGGTACATCACGTATCCCCGTCAATGGATTTAAGGATCTTCAGGGCAGTGACGGGCCTAGGAGATTTACGATCGAGAAGTCAGGAGATATCAATGCCCTGCCCAAATCACATACCTGGTACGTCTGTTTCTTGTGCCCATACACCAGCTCCAAGTTCTTCACTAACAGAAGTAGCTTCAACCGACTCGATCTACCCCCTTATAAGACATATGAAGCTTTACAGAACAAACTTACCATTGCCGTTGAAGAGACACTCGGCTTCGGCCAGGAGTAAATCTGTTTTTCTTTCTACTCTTATAATAGCGCTCAAATCCCCTTCAGATGTGGTCGGTGTTAAAGCTCAGGGGCCGAGGAGACCCCTAACCCCGTTAACCCTTAACTCCCCCGGTGTACTATTAGTATATAGGAAAGCCAATAATTCCACCTTAGACCACGCCCTTTCTCGCCTTTTATTTTATCTTCTTGGTGTTTACTATCTTTACGTTATTGAAGGTTTTCTATTTAGCAGTATTTAAGCAAGTCGTTGGTTGATACGTGCTCTAAGAATTACAACAAGAGCATTTCCAATTTCAGATATCTCCGGTAAAGAAAAACTAACTCCTCTAGCCAAAGCTATTAGATTAGGCTTCCTTTCTCTTTCGTTTCCGAGCCTTCCTGCCTTGTTCTTTTTCAGGTTCACTGTTAACATCTTCGGATAACGACTTTGAATCTGACGTTGGCTTCGATGTTTCCTTTAAGCTATCTCCAACCGTAGGCTCTAGATGCCCTATCACAAACGCAATCTTCTCTATATCCTGCACGGAAAATGTCTGCTTTGTCTCACTTTTCTCCGAGAGTTGCTGGATCCGTCGTCTTAGCTCAGTGAAAGCATCCCATAAATCCTGGTATTCTTTGACATTGTACTTCAGCTTTGGTAGTTTGTGCCTGGGAACTTGTTTATCCCGTGAATACAAATCCATGCAAAGCCAGCAGTACAGCTCGTCACTAAAAAATGGAGTTGACGTCTCCGGGGCAAGGGATAGAATCAAGGATGCAGTGGCTGGTCCAACTCCACGGAAGCTTTTGCACAGTAATTGTACGGCCGCTTCAGGGAAGACACCTGCCTGGGAAGCTTCTGCTAGACTTGAGAACGCCATCTTGCTAACTATCTCTACCTGTGACTCTGCATTTGAGCGTATCAAGCCCATGAGAGCAGGTCGAAAGGAGCCATGTTTTCTACACAACATATTAGAATATGATTACTAGCCAACGTTGAGATACGCCAACGTACAGCTTCCAGTCCATCAACTGGACCATCTCGTCCTTGTTGATGAAGCCATGAGCAGGCTTCTCTTTTCCCTTCTTCTTCTGGTCCCCGTTGCCCCCCGCTCGTTCGCGCAGAGTGGCTGGCAGAGTCGTATACCGCCAGGTGTCTAGCTCGACAAACTGCTTCACCCGGTCCTCAATCTCTTCTTCCTTTTCCCTGGATATCAAGGCCTTGCTGGCCGGCTTCGCTGCCTTTCCTGCCTTTATAGCCAGCTTATCACGGTATACACGGGCGAGTGTGCCGTCGTAGCCGGACAGCAACTCGGACAGCGCCGAGAGCGATATCTCCCCGGCGGACAGCGACGTCATTGTTCGTTCTTCGCTGTCATCTCATATCTGCTGTTGTGTGACGGAGTACTGTTGTGTTAGTTGCACATCGCAGATTAGATAGTCGAGGGTCTACGGCGATAGATTGATAAGGACCGCGTCCGAAAAGGGGAACCTCAACGTCCGGCATCGAAACTGCTAACCACCGCCGCGAAACGGGCGTCTTTAGCATCTATATCACTGCGCAGCCACATATACCTCTACGGAACCCAGCTATAACCTAACTGCAGCCACCGGCCGGTCCACGCTGGCAGCTCTTCTTCGCGCCACTCGGCTGTTCCCCGCGGCGGGCGGAGTCAGCGTCCTGGCGCCCTCACGGGCAAAGCCGCGGTTGAGCCTGATCTCCAGGCACATCGACCAGAGGCTTCCCTTGCCAGCGCTCAACACACCATTCTCGAGCGAGAGGAACGTCTCTGTCGAGCCTGACGAGGTTGAATATAAACCGATCCTGCGCACGCTGCCTGATCTGTCTGCAAGCAAAACCAGAGAAGCCGCCGCCATGTCTACTCAAGCACACCATCCCACAGTCCTCATCCCAGGGCCGATTGAATTCGACGATGCCGTCCTCCAGTCCATGTCGACCTACGGGTGTGTATTCTTGTCTCTATTCTGTGTTTATGAGGATGAATATGGTGCTGTTTGATGGTATTTGAGTACTCTTGCTAATACATCTTACTACAGGGAGAGCCATGTTGGACCGGCATTCGTAAAGATATTCGGCGAGACGCTGACGATGTTGAGGCAGCTGTTCCAGACAAAGGCTGCTGCATCACAGCCGTTCGTGCTTGCTGGCTCAGGAACACTAGGTTGGGACTTCGTTGCGTCCAACTTGATCGAGCGTGGTGAAAACGCCCTAGTGCTGCATACCGGCTACTTCGGTGACTCACTCTCGGAATGCCTGCAGACGTACGGCGCAAACGCAACACAGATTAAGGCACCAATTGGGGACCGACCGTCTTTGGATGAGATTTCCAAGGCTCTTCAGGAGAAGGAATACAAGATCCTGACTGTCACACACGTCGATACCTCTACGGGTGTGTTGAGTGATATCAAGGCCATCACGGAAGTTGTCCGAAAAGTCAGCCCCAACACGCTTGTTGTTGTCGATGGTGTGTGTTCGGTGGGGTGCGAGGAGATTGCCTTTGACGAGTGGGATTTGGACGTAGTGCTCACAGCCGGTCAGAAGGCTATTGGGTGCCCCCCAGGCCTGAGCATCTTGATGCTCTCTGGCCGTGCTATGGACCGAGCACAGAACAGAACCTCCCCTCCAGCAAGCTACTATGCTTCGATCAAGAACTGGCTGCCCATAATGCAGAACTACGAGGCCGGCAAGCCATCTTACTTCGCTACTCCTGCTACTCAGCTGGTTCGTGCGCTGCATACGGCTCTTACGCAAATCACTTCCAAGCCTCTTGCAGAACGATTTGCTGTTCACAAGGAAGCTTCTCAGCGAGTAAAGAAGGCTGTTTCTGACATGGGGCTGCAGCAGCTGGCTACCAAGGAGGAGAACCAGGCCAATGCTATGACAGCCATTCGTCTTCCCGAGGGCCTGTCTCCACCTGACGTCCTTCCGAAGCTTTTCCAGAAGGGTCTCGTGTTTGCCGGTGGTCTACACAAGGAGATTGCCTCCAAGTACATTCGATTCGGCCACATGGGAGTCAGCGTCACTGATCCTAAGCGGGACGATATTGACAGGGCCATTGCTGCTCTCAAGGAGGTCTTTGCCGAAGTCAAGAAGTGATCAACTACTTGTATGCTAAAAACTAAAATGTAAATTGATTGATTGCTTGCTTGGTGATCATTTGGATATCTATTGGCTCCATATTTATCTATTGCGATGTAAGGACGAGTAATGATATTAGTAGAATCTAGTGATATTACAACTGTACAGATCCCATCTGGCCTGGCAGGTAAGTATAGACTTCAGAATTAAAACGGCTCGGAACATGGAGTAACAAGTAAGATAGGATACAGATGGAGAAGCAGAAGAAGGCGGAGGAGACGAAGAACCAATTAAGAAGAAAAGCGCCGTGCCCAATGCCACTCACTAGAGGAGTCGTTCTATCAGGAAACGAGATGAGGCAAGGAGAAAATAGGAAACATATCAATACTCAAGCATTACCCGGACAACTTACACGCCATATATCGGGGATTGGGGGGGAAGTGGTACGTTACAGTGGAAGCAGGATTGATCTAGCTTCCGACCTCACCTCGTCGAAGGGCCAGAAGGGCCCGGACATCAGTTACATGCTGCATTGCCTCTAGAATGGGTATGAGGTGAAGGAGATCGTTGTCTGTAGGATCGTTGATCCAGCCTTCGATAGGAATTGCATTATCTATCCGAAATTAGCATTGAATCAAGATATCATGTACGAGGCTTGTAGAGGTACCTTCGTGAAATATATAACTCATTGGACTGTTATCCAAGATCATAACTTTACTTAGATCTGGCTCAACGGAGCTGAGATCCTTGATATAAGCGCCGTTGCGTATCGTGCAGTGTTGCCGGTAGTATCTGCTATGGAAGTACTTGCGTTCTTGTTCCAGCCAGTCGATGACCGGGTCTGCGTATTCCTGCACGCTGGCCGTAAATATAACTAGCTTATACCACTGGCAGACCTTACGTAGGAAAGCGTCGCAATGAGGACGCTTGTGGACGTAGTAGAGGATAGGATGCTGGGGGCCGAGGATGGTAGGTGCTGCTCCCGGAGCGGCCGCAGAGGCCATGGGCATGGAGAGCTTGACTTCAACCATGTGTCCGCTTGACATGCGGCCGCCCTTGGAGAGGGAGTGTATGAGGGTTTCGTCGAGATCGAGGATGAGTGTCTTCTGGGGCGTACGAGGAGGGGGTGCCCCAAATATATAGGAAGGTTGCCGACGGGGGACCAACGGTCTGGGAGGCGTAGGCGCATGAGGGTATCTTGTCAGCTTGCGGGCTGCCTGGGAGACGGGTGACTTCAAACTGTCTGCTACCGGGTCCATATTGCCGTTGCCAGTCGCACTGCTGGTGTTGCTGCTGCCGTCGCTACGACGGGAAGCCCTAACCTTGGAGCGTCTCTGTTCATGATTCTGCTTGCTCTCGTTCTGTATCTTTATTCTGATTGAGCGCCGAGGAGTGGCTTCATCATTGTCTGTCGTGGCCAGGCTGGATTTCCGCCGTGAATGCCGGCTGCGCATGCCAGGCTCGCCCAGGGCCCGGTCAGTCTCTGATTCTGAGGTATTGGAGTACAACGACTCGGAAGATAGAGAGTCCCGCAGCCTTGGAGAGCCTCTGGATGGTCTCTTCGGGCCCCTGTCCGGTCTGCTGCCAGAGTCTGCGCCGTCTCTTCTACTTCGGCGGGTGTTGCCGGTGGTGCTATTGTCCTGCCGTAGAGACCGTAACGGCTCCACGAGCGAAAACTGGCCGTCCCTAGAGTAGAACCGGCGCCCCAGGAAGACGGCGGGCGAGGCAAATATCGAGAGGATCGTCTTGAGCGTCTCGAGCAGGGCGCCGAAGAACCGTTGCGTTATAGGCAGGATCACCGTGCCGGCCGTTGTAGGTGCTGCTGAGTCCTGCGCCAGAGCTTGCTTCTGGTCGGCGTCTTCGACCGTCAGCAGCGACAGCACCTCACCGCGAGCCTCAAGCTCGTCCTCGTCGTCTCCAGGGATGCCATCGGCCTGCATCGAGTGCTGGTGTATGTTGATGTTGCCGTCGCTGTAGGATCTGCTGCTGGCGGCCAGGCCTCCTCGCGGGTTGAGGACATGGCCCTGCGAGTGGGATCGGGCCCGCGACGAATTGCTCGCAGTAGCCTGGCCGATGACTCGCGACGAGAGGATGTTCAGGGAGTTCATCTTCCGCCCTGAGCCATGCGGTGGGCTGGTGGGCGCTGGTGGACTGACTTTGGGGAAGTGGTTGAGTGAGGTTTGCGCAGAGACGAGGCGCAAAAGACAAGCAAATCGGCGGACCAGATAGAGAACTGCCTTTAACTATACGGAGCTGCTGCGCCAGTGAATGGAGAGCGCCAGCGCAGGTCGGCTAGAGATGGACAGAGGTGAAGCTGAAGCTGCAGAAGACGTAGGCGCAGATGCAGACGTGAAAGAGAGGGGCTTGCATGGCTCTAGTTAGCTGGTGGTTTGGCAGTTGGCTGTCTGGCTGCGCTCAACGGGCTGGCTGGCGTGATGGTGGGATTTTGATATCCCGCTGGCGCAGGCAGATACAGGCTTCTACGCGGGTGCAGCGGATGGCTGGACTTCTACACTAGTTACGGCGTCTGTCTGTCTACATACTGGTTCGATGCTGGCGAGGCTGGTGGTGGACTGATGGTCATTCGGACCGTCTGGCTGCTGCTTCTGCTGGATATACCTGCACTATTATTGGCTGGCATTCGAGTGCAGGGCGTTGTCCCTTGTAAAAAAAAAAAAAAAAAACCGGACGAGGGGCATCTCAGGCCGAGTACCGGGTGCTGGAGACCCTGTGTAGCTGGCTGTTGGCGTGCTGGCTGGTCATATCCCCTGTGGCTGGCGGTTTGGTAGAGCTTCGATATAGGTTCAATTGAATATCATCATCATCACCACAACTATTCATGCCATTGAATTCGTAACGTCGTAACACGCCTAGAGCATTCTAAGGGGCCATTCCATCAAATAGTAGGATAGTTACAGCTCCCGGCTTAGATATGGACGCCCTCAGATGTGTCGTCCACGCCGTTCAGGTCCGGCTCCATGCCAGGCTGAGAGCTTGCTGACGGGTCATCATTCTGCTGACTATTGCTAGACGGCTGGCTCGTAGTTCCATTCGCCCCTTGTCCGTCTTCAGGCCCATCAGCTTCATGTTCAGCCTGTTTCTCCGGCCACTGCTCGCCGCGTCTCTCCAGCTCAAGCTTGACGAGACCAATTCGCTCGCGCATCCGTCGGATCACCTCCTCGTTTTCTGTGATGGCATCCTCGCACTCCTTGTCTCCGCCGTCTGACTGCTCTATGAATGTCCTCAGCTCGCTGTTGGAGCGTTCAAGATGCGCTGTCGAGTTCTCGAGCTCCACGACCTTCGCATAGACAGACGATAGCGGCAGGTCTTTGAGCGCTGCTGCAAACGCGCCAGGATCAATCGGCCGTGACTCCGCAGACATCTTTTCGTCTTTCGATCACTTATTCGCCGTGTTATTCGCTTCTCTTCTTCTTCTTCTTCTTCTTCTTCTTCTTTGTATTCTGTCTTGTTGTTTTTAGACGGATTTAATAAAGTCGAAGATCTTATCTCTCACGTGACTTGATCTGATAAGACGCCCTTGTCTTCCTATCAAAAAGACGAAAAGACGAAAAGAAGCAAAAAGGACGAAGAAAAGATTAAAGACCCGGGATCCAGCAGTTCAGACAAAAGATTAACTCACCTATAGCGCGATTGAAGAGATAGTCAGGGAGGTATGCTGCTCCCCTAACCTGCAATTGACATGGAAACCTGGTTAACTCGACCAAAGACGCCTGCCGTCAAAACCGACAGAGAGATGAACAATGCCGCCACGATAGCATGGCGGACTCCATGCCGATGGATTCATGCTTATTCTCGAACTTCCTCGGCCAGATCCTCCCTTCTAGACCAGCTACACCTCATATACCCCTCGTCAATAAGACCGCGAAGCGCATTACGATGTTTATCCAGCAAAACGCCAACCTCACGCAAAGCCAGCCAGAGGGCTCCCGGCTCTCAAACTCGTGAAATCACAGCTGCTTTCCCTGAGCGAGACCTGCCAGCACCGCAGATTGCCCAGATATTTGGCACTGCCACCCTACCTGCGAAACTGGGCAACCAGATCCTCCGAGCGTTACAGGACCAGCGAGTATCAGGCACACTTGATCTACCCCTACCAGACGAGATCACCCGTGTTGTACCTCCGCACATCATCGATGCCGGTCTAGCGTGGCTGCGAAGCAAGCATCCCATGGACGAAGACGCCGCTATCTTGGCGAGAATCGAACGAGAAGAGCAGGAGGAGGAAGAGCAGCTGATACGCCGGGCAGAGGAACTGGGCCTGTACAAGCCACAGAGCGGGAAGTTTGGATCTAGCACCACCAAGGAAGGAGATGTGTATGGGAGCAGTGTCCTCGATGAAGTCCGGAAGAAGAATATAAAAGAGAGCAAGCAGATGGAAGAAAAACAAAGACAAGACTGGCTCGACGGTGAAGCGAAGCGGATTGAACAGCTTCAGGCTCGGGCAGAGAAACTCAAGGGCATACAAAAGTATGAGTCGCAGGAGCTTACAGAGGGTGAGTATAATACATCCTTTTTGAAGCTATATAGCCCTGTTAACATCCATCCAGCACGCCCACGAGCTGATCCCGAACAACGGCCTGCACTAGCCTGGATTCAACAGCAGCATGTCAAAGCAACTTCAACAACCGATGCCTCGAAACTTACAACTGTTAGTATCTAGTATAATTTCATACAAGAGTCGAGCTAACTTCATCTAGGCTGGCCGTCTCTTACCATCCCTTGCAGTCGTTGCTCTAACCCTTGGGCTCTGCTACGTCTTCTCTGAATCCTACGAAGCTCCGCTCCATAACCAGCGAATGTGGCCTGATATCCAGCCTGCAGCAGCCACGTTGACAGCCATAGTAGGCCTAAATGCAGGCGTATTCCTGCTCTGGAAGTTCCCACCAGCCTGGAGATTGCTGAACAAATATTTTATCAATGTTCCCTACTACCCATACGCTGCCAGTGTGGTTGGAAGCGTCTTCAGCCATCAGCAGCTTCGTCATCTTGGGTCAAATATGTTTATTCTATGGTTCGTCGGGAAGAAACGTAAGTACGCCTAGTATTGTTCCGGATTATATCCAATCCACTAACTTGGATAGTACACGATGACATTGGCCGAGGAGATTTTGTAGCCGTGTATTTATCCGCCGGTGCCTTTGCGACGTTCTCTTCATTTGCCATCCGAGTTTTGTCAAATACGCTGACTGTCTCGTCATTGGGAGCAAGTGGCGCCATATCCGGCGTCGTTGCAATGTGGTGTATTCTTCACTCCAAGTAAGTCAATAGGCTCAAACGCATCAGTGAAATAGCATCATTCCAATCTAACATTGGCGTAGTGAGAGACTCACGATTGCATTCCTTCCGCGTGAATGGCAGGAGAAGATATCTGCTTCAGGATCGACATTCCTGTGTGCTATCATACTTGGAGAGCTACTGAATTTCATACCGGCCTTCCGCTTTTTTGCAGTGGATTTGTGGTCTCATCTAGCAGGATATGGTGCTGGCATAGTTCTTGGGTTACTGTGGAAGGAGAAGAAAGAACGTGAGCGGAGGAGAAATCCTCCGAGTTGGCTGAAGTCATTTGGACTCTGATGAACATGTACATAAGTGTAATATACCTCATTCAATGAAGCTGTTGTATTCTCTGCCGATAAGTAGGGTGGAAAATAGTATCACTGCTAGTACATACAAAAACAAGGTAAACATAACATAATAACAGCATGGACAGGGACTGATGATTAGTCCAGCTGGTACCCGAAGGAGAAGCTGGATCGCTGCGTATGTGCAGGTCAATAGGGGAAATAAAACATAACACGTTACAGATAGGAATGGAAATTATGATAACACGGGGGTATTTCTCTTCTACCCGGAAAGCCGAACGTTAGTTAACGAGTCGTATCGCTATCGTTCATGTCAAGGTTTTACGCCGAAGGAGCAGCCTGCACCAGGGGCGGCACTATAATCCAGTTAGCTGGTGGAAAAAAAAAAAAAAAAAAAAAAAAAAAATACAAAATAAGATGGAATGACATACCACTAAAGCCGTATCCCTCAGTCTTACCCTCGATATCAGCAGGGTCAATTTCAACACGGATTGCAATGTCCAAGCCACCCAGTTTGCCTGTGACGTTGCTCACTCCATCTGCAGAGCGGTATTTTGTGCCAGCATCTTGCTCTCCCGGGTGGAGAGCATCATGTCCATCCCTGGGAGCCTTTGAGAGCCCAGGTTGCTCATTAGACGTGGTGATTTCGGTGATACAAGCGTAGTTACGGGAAGGCATGGTCACTTTGTTGGAGCTAGAAGACTTTTCTTTGCCTCCGGGCTGATCGTTGAAGATCTTCATCAGGGTTTCGTCTGTCTGGCTATCGAGATGGTGGATCTTGTTCCTGCTGGCGAGTAGGTTGGCCACGGCCTTGGGAGGAGGCTTATTAGTGATGGCACTGCTGATGACATTGATCATGTAGTTGGGGTCGCTGTCGATGGGAACATGGTCCTTGACTCGGGAGTAGAAGCGGCCCACGGCTGCCAGGTGGACGTCGCCGCCGAGGATGGTGACTCGGACTGAATAACGAGCAGCAAGTTGCTGGAGACGTTGAATCAACTGTCTTCTCTCTGCCTTGTGCTGCCGAGCAGTGTAGTGGTCGTCAAGGTCGTCGAGTAGATCAACCTGGCCGTCAAACTTGTTGAAGAAGCTTCCTCCAATGCCAAACCGCTTGTTCAGAAGGCGGATGGGGGATATCAGGGGAGAAGAGAGGATGTTTTCAAGCCAAGCAAGGCGAGGATACGCAATGGGGACACCAAGCAGGAGGATCAAATGCTTGATTTCTCCATTAGCGGCAGTAAACTCCTTTTCTAGACGGGCGAAGATGGCATCGTAAGTCTCTGGGTAATTGACCTGATGTCTGGTACGCTCAGTGCGAGCATCGATTCCGGCAAAGGCAATACGCTTTCCAAGACGCATGTAGAGGTTTCTGCTGATCTCCTCGACGTAGGGACCTGGTTTAGTTCCTACTATCCAGCTGGGCTCATCCTCGGGCTCCTTATAGACATAGCAGCCTTCCAGCTGGCGCTGGTCAATGCCCGAAGTCCCGTCTTCACTGGCATGCATGGTTTGGGGTGCATCAGTCGTGAAAGTCGACATGGGAGGAGCATTGTGGTGCTGGAACAGACAGTAGTACTTGAAGGCAACGCCTCCAAGGCCACGGAAGACAGCACATCTCATGAAATGGTCGGTATACGACCCAAAGCCATCAATGATATCATGGTCGTCCCAGATGTTGATCTGGGGGATCTGCGCATTGGCGGTAGCAAACGGTTCAGTCCCGTACCAACGTACGTAGTTGTTAAAGTAGAAGACATCACACTCTGCTCTAAGGGTGTTAGGGAACGGGTGTGCCCGTCTGCGGTGTGGGTTGGTGATGTTGGTCCACTCCTTCAGAGGGCCCTCAGTCCGGACAGAATCATTGTATATCTGGTCACCGCCTCCGATCATGACGTGAAATGGCCGCTGAGCATGCAGCCTAAGGACGTCATGCCAGAGCAAGGGGCCCTGCCAGTGGCCCAGGTCAGTGCCCACGGAGAAGCCATTGCAGGAGTGGAACATGATGCGCATCGAGTCATTGACAGCGGGCACTACGAAGTTCCAGGAGGACATGGTATGCTCCCGGTCCACATGCCGGAAGCCCGGGATAGTGTACTGCCAGCGCGCCTCATAGTCCTCCATGGCGACGGCGATGCGGAAGCGCCAGAAGGCCGCGATAGGGCTGGAGAAGAGCTTGACGCCCTCGATGGTGGGTTCGACATTGCCGGCGCCGGCGGTAGGGCCGTTGACGTTCGATACAGCTCCCAGACACTGCAGCTGCAGCAACGGCGGCTGTTCACGCGGTCGAGTGACTATCAGGACGCTGCCATTCCATACCTGGCGCGAGCTGGCATCGGGTCCCATATGCTTGTAGTTGAGCAGCGGACCGCAGAGGACCTGCACCGCGTCCTCGGGCACAGCGAGCATCTCACGGGCACCGGCAACCTCAGTCTCAGCTATACTCCGTACAGGAGCCATCAGTTAGCTTTCGGACATTTATTTGCCTTTTGTTGATGTTGATATTCTGTGGTTGCGTACCTGGCTGGGTGTTTGTGGCTGGCGCTGGTTCCTGAGACGCGGCCACTCGAGGCGCTTCCATCTCCATGGCGGCGGCAGACGAAGCAGAAGCTGTCTATTCGGGTCGCAGGCAGTCTGTCGCCTAGGACGAGGTGCGATGAAGCTGTCTCAAAGCTGTGAGGAGCGCTGCGCTGGCTGTCGCTGTCGCTGTCGAGGCCGCAGAAGTGTCAACAAACAACGGCCGAAGTCACAAGCTTGGGCTGACCCGAGGTCAGCGGCGTCAATTCTGGCCTTTTTTGCTTCGTCTCTGCCTGGACTTCTCTGCTTGATGTCGATAGCTGACAAGAATGGCGTCTACTGTTGATTGTTGACTGTTGACTGTCGACTGTTGACCGGCGAGGTTGCGGGAAGGAGAAAAGACGGGACGTTGCAGAAGTTGCTGCTTGCTTTGCAGGTGGAACCGCCTATCAACTTTGCAATTTAACCGGGTTTCGCTCTCTACGACGTCGGATTACTGATGCCTTTTTGGCTAGCGGCCATGCAGAAGCCATGCATAAAAGAGAGGAGGAGAGGAGGAAGAACTCGTTTATACGGCTGGCAAGCTATTACTCTTCTGCCTCTGGGTGCGTGCTGGGGGAGGGGGCCAACCAAAGACAGCAAACCTGGAGATCAAGAACCGGCCGTGGCGCCTGCTGTGCAGCCACAGTGACGACAGGGATGAGGAAGAAATCGAAGGATGCGTCGTGGAGCTTGCTGGCTACTGGCTGCAGATCTGAGGTGATGACCTTTGCTGGCGATCCAACAGGCTTAAGGGGAGGAACCGACCCCTATCAAGCCACAGCTGGGGGATCCACACCTCGTATCTGCGAGCCGATGCTTGCTCGGCTGGAACATGCTTTGGGATGGGACGAGGAACTGTGGTCTTATCTCGGGATTAATTGGGTTGAAGCATGGTTCTATCATAAAGTAATCATGGTCAGGGGTGGTCAGTCAACCCAGATCAAGATACCCTTCGCATCGCTCTTTATGCTCTCTGTCGGTAGGATACGCAGTGTCTTGTTGAAGTAAGTGTCCACGATGACCAGCTGCGGCTGTATCCAGACGCCCCGGCGAGTCGCGAGCAGGCTGTACTGCAGCGTATGGCGGCTCAGCGGAACGAGTCGTAGGGTCATGGACTTGGGGCCACTAAAAGCGAACTGGTCACTCGTTTCCATTGTCAGGTTGAAGGTCAGGAAGTGCATCGATGGGTTCTCGAGTGTGTAGTTTAGCTGGATCAGGCCAGGTACGTCATTGCTGCGGCTAGTTTTTGCGCCGAGGGATGCCAGCACGCGAGGCTCGCTCATCGGAATGGAGAAGCGAGGGACGGTCAGCGAGGTTATTACTGACTCTGTGGGAAGAGATATTTCAGGAGAGGTGGTTTCTGCTTCAAAGACGTCTTGCTGCTCGTCTCGACGCCATTTGATTTTCAGCTCAAAACTGACCCCAGTCTGCAGCCGATCCTCCATAGCAAGCCGCTCAATGACGACCATGAAATCTGTGCTCTGGGGTTCTTCTGGCCGGATATATCTGTTCCCAGACTGCTTACTGCTGTCTGAAGCCGTAGTAATACTGCAAATTTTGCCTACTTCGACAGCCACGACTCGCAGCTTGACGTCCTCGATGACAAGTGTCTCCCGGGCAAGGGGCATCAGCGTGGAGTTGAGGAGCCACCGTTGCTGCATATTGGAGGCTTCTGACTCGTCAATATTGAAGAAATCTGGCCACGGGGATAGATGTAGCCGTGGTAGAAAGTTGTGGTTTGCTTCGAACGGCTGGATAAACGGTAGGTCGAGCGAGATGGCTTTTGATATCGCTGCCTCGGGGTCGGAGCTGAGATGGTAAGAGACGCTGATTTCCAGATCATACTGTATCGGGTGAGGTGCCTCGACCACCATAGCTGGCAAGATGGTATGCTCACCTGCTCCTAGCTCTGCGATTTTACGCCGAATAGTCTGCGTGGCTGCCTCCTTTGTCTGGGAGGCAGACAGTTCTTCAGTTTCTTCAGAGTGTCCCTCCACGTCAGCGCCATCGAGCCAGCTTATAACTGCAGGATACTCCGAGCGACCACTGAGTTTTAATTCCACAACGATCGATGCAGACGCATCCTCATTGTTGTCGAGCCTGATGTTCAAGCCTGCTTTTTCACCAAAGTAGTAGGCGTCCCGAAGGCCAGGCACGGATATCAGCACCTTAGGTGGCTTTGGCAGTATTTGACAGCTAGAAGGATCTCTACCCTTCCCGATCCGCCTTGATGTGATGCTACCTTTGCTCTCAGTCCACCATCTTGGTAGTGCGTAGGCGTCGTTGCTAGTACTACTAATAGTATAAGCAAGGTCAAATTTATCGTCTGCTACCATCAGTGTGATAGATGCCACTCGAACATCGCTGGCCTCCCGTGGTATCAGAGTCAGGGTGAATGCGCGCATCTGCCCTGGGAAGAGGGATAGATTGGCATTGCCTTTGATCTCCTGTAATGATGACGATGGCCCACTTTGGCCATCTGCCAGTGATATTGATGCATGGGTATGGGTAGATTTAGATGCATCAATCGCGTTGCTATCAGCGAGTATTCTAATTGGGGGTAAACCGCCTTCAAAGGCAATCTTGACCTCACTGAGGTGGATTGGGGATGACTTTCGGATGCAGTCTGATTGAAGAACGAGCTGACCCTTGAGGGGCTCGCCTACGTTTCCGCTTGAAGAATTGAATATAAAGGACATTGAAACTGGAATCTGTTAGATACAGTTGATACCAAGTAATAAAAATAGATTGGAGAATATTTACTGCAAGATGCAACGTCTCTGTCTGCCAATACCATTACTGGTTTTTCAGATGCCTTTTCGTCAGTCGTTCCGGTTCTATGTATATCGTAATTCCAATCAGATCTATTCGTAAAATCTGTTTCAGTTAGCAACAGAGTAGGCAATAAAGGAGTTGGTACTTACTTTTGTTCATTAATTCCCAGTCTATACGGTAAATAGCTTCAAAATCGCCACAACGCACAGCACAATCACGCAACAACCAGGCGCACTCTTCCATCAAATGCCACCACCCTTCCCGTCTCCAGGAAATCTGGAGCCATAGAGGTCGTAGGATGTCAAGAGCATCACTCCAAGCCTCGAGACGTACATACTCTTTCGCCATTGTCAACTTCTGTTTCTCGACCATACGAACCTGGCCTCGTTTGGCGAATTCAGCCACGGACTCTGTAAGGAATTCTAGTATTTGGTGCGAGTACTTGTCTCCCGGTCGGTCATCAATAGGATATTCGACATGTGGCTCCGGAGCCTGGTACGTGTCGTAGACGTTAGACAAGGCTTTGCACTGTGATGTTGCATTATGCTGGTCTGGAGGCAATCGATCTTCCTGTGGTATATTCTCAGCATGAAGCCGTCGACGAGCAGTATGTTTGGCAGCCCGAGCGAGCCAGTATCCACGGTGATGCAGGAAGTCCCAAGGAGATACACGCTCTCCTGACAGCAGCGTCTTTTCAGATAGTACAAAAATTGGTCCGCTGTTGGTGCCTGCGGGTGAAGGGGGTATGTAGGAGCGGCTAATATTATGCGCCATGATCAAGGACCAGTTTACCTCCCACGCCTCCCAGCCATAATTATTCGTTCCTTTCCCTTTGTTATAGGCAATGTTTTGTATTCGTCTCCTGTGAGCCACCCAAAACTGAACAGCAGGAGTAGTCTGTTCCAGCCATAAGTGACACCGCAGAATCCTCAATGCAAGTACATCAGCTAACATGCGGGCCTCATCAAACCTTGGACTCCAAGCGGCAATGACTCCAAATACTTCATCGCCAAAGAGCAAATCATACGCAGTTTCGTAGCTACGACCAGCAGCATCCATCTCCTGGCGGAACTCAGCAAGTACGCCTAGTTTAAATTCATATCGAACATTCCAGCCTTGCTGCGAGAGAGTCTGGGAGGTCCCGCTAGTAGGAGGTGCCGTTGGAGGTGGAATAGTGGTCCTGTTGCGCTTGCGGCGAGTGTGTTTTGACAGATCTCTATAGTACTCGACCGCAGCACCCTGGATCGAGAAGAGTAATGATTTAACGAACCTTTGGATGTCTAGTGGGCTTGGACCTGGGGGGAGTGTAAAGACATTTCGGGGATCTAATCCAGTGGCTTTTCTAATGCTTGAGATGCGGTAATTGGCATCATCCAAGACGGGTCCGTCCTCAAAGAGGAAGACGACGACAAAGCGAGTCTTGTAGCCTGACTGAGCCCAGTCTCGTTTTAGGCTGTTGATCTCTATCTTGAGCTGGTTATCCTTGAGCGTGGACATGTTTGTATCTGTGGTGAGAGGGAAGAAATTGACAAATGCCGCTGGTACGAGGCACTGGTGTTTGGATATCCAGCTGGGCGTGACGATGCCATCTGGGAATACCTCCGAGCCGGGTGTAAGGGGAGATAGCGGCGAGTGAGGCACGGGAGCCAGGCCATCACTGTCTGGAGCATATTGCGTAGTATCTGCCTTTTTCCGGGGAAGCGTATATGTCTGACGATGTTAGTATGCCGTGCCAACTGAAGAGCCGTTATCTGAGTAGATAGAGAAAAGATTAACACACCCTAGAAGCCCTCTGTATTCTCAATCCAACACCATTTGCCCTGTGGCTGAAATACCTGGAGCTCCACGGCCAGAATGAGGCATCTTCCGCGAGCAGGGCAGCGAGTAGTCCGTCCGCCACGGCGCCAGAAACCGGCGGGAAGTCCGAGAAGACACAGACTCCACCGTCCGCGCCGTCGACTCCAGACACTATTGCCTCTCCAGCCTCCTCTCCTGCTTTGCCCGCCGCTGCCAGGCCTGATATTAGCACCAGCGGGAGGTTGTGGTCGACGTAGCTCGGGGGAAACGCATCCATGATGATGTGCTGCTGCTGCTTGCCGTGCTGTAGTCTCCAGCCGCCCTCTGCAATTTCAATTCCAATCTCAACTCCAATTCCAATCTCAAACTGAATCTCAATCTCATTTGAGTGTCTCTGGTCTCTGGCAGCCGTCTCCGTGTTCGCTTTTCGGTGTCTAGTGCCAGGCCGATGGCTGGGGGAGCTCTCTATCTGCGGCGAGTCTCTCGATCATCTCGCAGCCGATGTTCCTTGCGCGGCGGGCGGGCGACCAGCATACCCCTGACCTGAAACGCAGCTCCAGCTCTTCTCCCTCGTCACTGTCTCTTCTTCTTCTTCTTCTTCTTCGTCTGCTCTTCGTCTGCCCTCAGCTTCGTCTTCTTCTTCTTCTGCTGCTGCTGCTGCTTCTGGTTGCTGCTTCGCCTTTTCGTTTCTTTGACGTCAAAAAAGAAAGGCAGCGAATGTCTCACGTGATCAACACTCAGGGCCGTCAAACGTCAACTTCAACCTCAACTTCGACAGAATCTCATAGAGGACGACAAGACGAGAAGAAGCAAAGAAAAGGCAAGGGAAAAAAAGGGACAAAGAGGACTGCGTCGTTGCTTTTTCCTGCTGGGATCCCCTTCCGCGGCCTCTGCGCCCTCGTCGGCCAACCAATTATCGCAGCCGGCGAGCCCGGAGTTCCATTTTTTTAATCTTCCTCTGCCAATACGATTTCCCCAGAGAGCCAAACAATGACCTGAACGAACCGCAGGCTCAGATTTTACGAGAGTCGAGAGAGAGTAAGGAACCGAGAGGGCGGCTTTGGTTTGTTCTTCGGCTTCTTCTTCGCCCTTTTTTCCCTTCCTTTGCGTCCATGGAGTTGTTGCTGAGTGTCGGCTGATAGTAGCAAGCGAGCAATAATGACAGTGCGGCATGCAATACTGTATCGAGTGAACCACCGCCAGACGCACTGTTCGAACTGAATATATGACATATATACGGATACAGCCTCCTGTTTGTTGCGAGAACTACTCCTATTTCTTCACTGTTCACCCATCTGTCGACCTGGCGCGCAATAATGGAGGCTTCTGAGAGACGGTCTTCGCGTGGCAGCAACCTCAATAATAATCATAACAACAACCATAATAGCCCTAATGAGATATCACAAAGACGCCAGTCGATGCCTGCTGCCGGGCCAGGAAGGAGACAGTCGCCCCGAGGACACATCGCCCCAGCATCGCCAGAGGTCATCTCGTCTCTCATCTCGTCGCTGTCTACCATATCGACCCCCGCTCGCACACACTTCGAGAGCCTGCCCCGGGTAGGCGGATCGCAGACAGCTCCCCCTTCGCCCAAGACGCCTCGGAACGGCCAGTTTGATGGCTCGGATATGGATTATGGCTCGTTCAAAGCGGCAGCTGCGGCGGCGGCGGCGGCGGCTGAGAGCGAGGCCCCCTTCTTGCATCCCTATGACGCTGCCATGTCTCCCGTTATCAGAATGTCAAAACCGCCGTCGTCGGCAAGGTCTCCTCGCTCGTCAGTGTCGTACCATTCTTGCCGGAACGCAGATGATTCTATCTCCCTACGGCCTCCTCGCGGCTCTCATGGCTCTGCAACTACCGGCCATGAAGACTCAGGAAGTTTTGGAGTCGTTCGTCTCGAGCCCGGGTCGCGCAAATCTACCGCGAGCCTTGTATCCTCGGGCAGCCGGAGGAGTTTAAAGAATCAGCTTGGCCTCTTCCGCCGTTCGTCGCGAGATTCCACCCGGGCCAAGGAGCAATCCAGTGATCGTCTCGGTGTAGAAGACGGGCCGGGTCCTTCAATCTCAAACTCCCAGAATAACCAGTCTGTTTTACGGCCCGTTCGCTCCATGGCTGACCTCGCGGAAGAAGCGAACGGGTCCGTCACCGAGCCCGGTGGTCAGAAGAAAAAGTCTGGAGACTTTCAGGACTCAAGGCGGGAATCGGCTCCAAACCTGAAGCAGACCCACACCCACGAACTCCCAGCTTGCCTCACCCCTGGTGGAATTGGAAGCGGTAGGAGCATTCCTACACGAGAGTCCTCATTGCGTCACAGCTTTAACAGTCCCTCGTCGAAGAAGCGCCGCTCCGGCCGACACAGTGGATATTCTTTCAAAGATGTGGCGGTTGATAAGAAAATTACGGAAGTCAACGCAGAGGCCGACCAGGTAACCCAGCGCATCAAGGAGATTAAGGATCACCAGCAGAAGATCAAGGATCGGATGGTTCTCGATGACAGATTGCCTCCTCCGCCCCCGGACAGCACAAAGCCCAATATCACTCGACCGTCTGCTACTTCCGCTGCCGCTTCGGTTTCTAGCCCGTCTATACAGCTCGCCAAAGTGGATGAACTCTTTCTCGACTTCGGCGACAGCGCGCCGTCTCCTACCGTCAGCACTCGTAGGGCCCCTTCCGTGAGCAAACGCGGTGCGCCGCTTGCGCCAAAGACTGGAAACCTGCAAGCAACCTCTCCCACGAACCAGCGCTCAAGGCATGACGACGGTCTCACCAAAAACGCGAAAGGGTCTGATATGAAGGGTCATAGGAGGACATACTCTGACTCCCCTTCAACAGCACCCCGGCCCTCATCAGATGCAAATGCCAGACCAAGTAGCCCAGACGTAATTGAGGAAGCTGTAACAGCATACATCACCTCACCCAAACTTACACAGAAAGTTCCTCACCCGCAGACCGGGCGTATCATCGCCTTTTCAGAAGTCGGAGATCCCGACGGCCATGTCGTCTTTTGCTGCGTCGGTATGGGTTTGACCAGATACCTTACGGCCTTTTATGATGAGCTAGCTCGGACGTTGAAACTGCGGCTTATAACCCCTGACCGGCCTGGAGTTGGAGAGAGTCAGCCCTGTCTGGACGGTACGGGGACTCCTTTGAACTGGCCGGGTATGTATTACTGTATCCTCTATTTAACATCCCGTTTTAATACTAACTACTTTGATTTAGACGACCTAGCGGTGATATGTAAACATCTAAAAATCTCAAAGTTCTCCATGCTCGCGCACTCCGCCGGAGCCATTTACGCCCTAGCCACCGCTTTGCGCATGCCCCAGCATATCCGAGGTCGCATCCACCTTCTCGCGCCCTGGATACCGCCCTCCCAAATGACCGGCATGGGATCACATAGAGACCCGCTACCGGCTACGGCGCTCCCTTACTCCCAACGGCTTTTGCGTGCGCTTCCTACTCCTATTCTCAAAGTCGCAAACTCCAGGTTCATGACCGCAACCAGTGCAAGTATCACTAGCAGCCTCCCCAAAAGCTCACGCAAACCAAAACGCCGAAGCACTGTTGGCAGAGAAGCAACACCCATACCGCCTGAAGTTGGAGGAACAACTGCTGCCGATGGCCAGGGCAAGACCTCTACCTCCACGCCCCGAAAGCAACACCCTCCTCTCCCTACCCAAGAAGGGACCGGCGCAGTAACATCTAGCGCATCAAGCGTCGCTGCCGGAGTTACTCCAGACAACGTCCCTATATCTGAACAAGAACGACGGACGGAGTATGACAACCGCCTCACACACGCAATCTGGGAACTTGCAACCAGTTCCGCCAATCCAGCCGTTGACCTACTCATTTGTCTCGAACGTAGACGGGCCATTGGATTCAGATATGTGGACATCAACCGTGCGGTAGTCATACACCATGGTTCCCGTGACACAAGAGTTCCTGTCGACAACGTCCGGTGGTTAGGAAAGACGATGCGCCGGTGCGAAGTCAGAATCCTCGAGGGTGAAGGTCACGGGCTTATGGCGTCCGCTACAGTGATGGGCAATGTCTTGATGGAGGTTGCGAAGGAGTGGGAAGACTGGACAACTGTTGTCCAAGGCCGACGGGATGGAAGGAAACCTACTGCGCAGTAGTTTCAACATCACTCTACTATGCACCTACCCAATATCTACCAGAAGGACATAGTTATGTCTACCAACATTCTTTTACCAGCCGATACCCAGTCTGTACTCTACATGTTTTAATACCCTTTCTTTGGCTCGACGAACACGCCCTAGGACCCCGACCGTTCTATACCGGAAGTACATAGCTTTGACCTTTAGATAGATACCACTATAGTTCTAATTATTAGTTCCCTTTCTTTGTGCCATGTATATAACCAAAGACCAATTGTTCCATAGGCATTGAATAAAATTCTTTTCATCCTATTCTATCAATGCCATCTTGATTGCTCCTTCAATGTGTCTTTAGGATCTGGTCTTCGCCTGTAAAACCCGAGACTGGTGACGTAAACTTCAGGGGGCGAGGCCGAGGTAGCTCAAACAAACTTCTTAGGTGTAACAGTCGGAAAGCTAGCTTCAACTTCAGCACCCACATCAACGCCAACGGAAAAGATACCAAGTTAACGGGACACAGCTCATGATAATATTAAGAGATTCAATAAATCCCATCTTCTTCAAATGATCTCGGCATCCACCCTGTCTTGAAGCGATGTTTTCTCCTCGTCGCCTCCGGCTTTACTTGATTTCCGCCGTGATACTGGTTTGTTTCATACTATATTTCACTGTAGGTCTGCTCGTTCTTCAACCAGCTACATGATATCCTATGTATTTTGTAGTCATACAGATGCATAAATAGCCCGCCACTTTGTTCCTGAGGTGTAAAATTGTTCTAACTCTTTGCTTGACAGGGAGATGTCCGGCGCACGCAGGCGTTAAGAGCTGCCGGCACATCACAACTGGGGAAATCAAATCCCAATCTGAAGGGCTCGTCAAGGGATCATGGAAATGACAAAGATAATGATGGCGGCGTCTTTGATAAGTTGAAGCCCGGTGCTCTGCGGCCCGGAGACAAACAGAAGACAGTCAAGGTAGAAGAACCAGAGCAGACGCCGACTTCAGCCAAAAAAGGGAAAGGAGACGGAAAAGACGAAGAAGAAGCTACAGACGATACGAAGAGCGAAGACGAAATTGTCAACGAAGAGATGAATACCATCTTAAAGAGATCCCCAAGTAAGCATGATAGCTAATACATGTCTTATATTACACATTCTGTACGAGAGAACTGGCTAACGATATTAGTTATAATATTCTCCAAGTCATATTGCCCTTACAGTAAGAAGGCAAAGTATTTCATGCTGGAGAAGTATAATATTACTCCCGCTCCCTTTGTGGTTGAGCTGGACGAGCATCCGCTAGGCAGGCAGCTGCAGGATTTGTTAGGGACCAATACTGGCCGCAGGACAGTGCCTAACATCCTCGTCAACGGCAAAACGATAGGCGGTGGAGATGACATCGAGTCCTTGTACCTGTCTGGCGATCTGGGGACGAAGCTGCAGGCTCTCGGTGGGAAGAGAGTGACAGCGGTTCCTCACAGTGCAGACCCAGACCCATAGCAGTTGGTCTGAAACAACCGATTTCTCGTCCCTTATGCATCCCGGGTGGCTGTATACTTTTGACGTCTCTTTTTTCCTACTCTTCTTCCCTTGTATTATAGGTCATCATCTATCGATATCAATCAATATCAATCAATATCAACTTCGTCGCCTTCTTCTCATTCCCAAAAGGAAAACACGTCACGTGAAATATGACTGCTTAGTCACGAAAGTTAGTCATCATATACTAACCGAAATAAGCACTAAGCGAACACACAACTTCTAGCTTACATAATAATTTAGCGACCGCAAAACTTCCAAAGAGAAACTTCGAAAAGTCGACGAAGCGAAAAAGAACGACGAAGCGCATCAACGTCGACAAAACCACCTTCAACTCTCCCGTTTCGCCCTCGGTCAGCTTCTTCACAGGCGGAGTCAAGATGCTCTACATACACTCCCAGGAGACTCTGCAGATCCCAGAGAATGGTGAGCACCCCCGAGCAGCGCTATCGCATATTACAGTGGAGGATGGATGGATGAAGGGAGGGAGAGGAATGGACTGTGGCTGTTTAGCGACACCGACACGAGCAGATGGCCCGAAGATGCGGGGGGATGATTAGGATATATGAGAATGAACTTGTTACTGACTGGGTGTTCTTGATATAGTGAACCTTCACATTCGATCCCGTATCGTTACGGTTGAGGGACCACGAGGTACGATCACTCCGCACGCAGAAGCACATACACACGCAGACTTTTTGGATTGAGCGTCTGGGGTCGAATGCATTGGCATGCACTTACACTGGTTTCAATGATGCAGGAAAGTTGGTCAAGGACCTCTCCCACCTTTCGGTCTGCTTCAGCCGCCCAAAGAAGGATACCATTGCCATCGAGGTTCACCATGGAGGGCGTAAGGCCGTTGCTACGCTCCGCACTGTCCGGACCATCATCAATAACTTGATCATCGGCGTCACCCGCGGCTTCAAGTACAAGATGCGCTACGTCTACGCCCATTTCCCCATCAACGTCAACATTGAGACCAACAAGGAGACCGGTGCCGTCGAGCTCGAGATCCGGTATGTCACCGAGACACCCCCGAATATAATAAATAGTTAAAACAATTATTGTTGGAGCAAAGATGGAATACTAATGGATTACTATTTGTAGTAACTTCTTGGGTGAGAAGGTTGTCCGTCGTGTTGTCTGCCAGAAGGGTGTCGACGTTGTTGCTTCCTCCAACGTCAAGGATGAGATTGTTCTCTCCGGAAACTCCATTGAGGGTGTATCACAGAGTGCTGCCGATATACAACAGATTTGCCGTGTCAGAAATAAGGATATCCGAAAGGTGAGCCTTATACTACTCCCACTTGACTTGACTTATTCGTGCTAACATGAACATTAGTTCCTCGACGGAATATACGTCTCGGAGAAGGGAAACATTGTCGAAGAAGAGTAAAGGATCTGCTGAAATATAACATTTCCTGCTCTATTGAAATTGGGGGGAGCGTCAAAACCGTTGATAGCATGTTACTCTGCCAAACGATAATGAAAACTTTCTACCTACCGCCTTACCTTACACCATCTCCGCCATAAAAAGGTCACGTCGCCCTTGTTTCTGCTCTGTAGGCATTCGGCTCCATCTATCTGACGGCTTGGTTTTCTGGAGTCGGCGCGCTCTGGGTTCAGGCTGGAGTGTGACCGGCCAGCCTCTATGTACTCATAAGTGAAAACCATTACATTGACACCTAAGAAACTTTCTATATCTACTTACCATCCCATACTATGAATGTTACTATTTCGCCTAGAACTAAGTATGCTATATGAGCATACACAGGGTAATCTAGATCTAGCTCCACCATGTTGCATTGCAGCATTGGTCACCACAGCGTTCATAGAACACACAACCACCCCACCCACCTTATCATACTTATCCAACAGCGACCCCATTACATTACATTCATCCCCTTTTATACATAAAAGCTAATGGTCAGCGTACTTCTCTTCTTTTCTTCCTTTTTCCCACCACCACGAGCCTCTTGGCTCGTGCACAACTCACACGTGATGTATGATTGATTATATAATACTTCCTCACTCATTCATAATGCACTTACATAAGCGAATATCATCATCGACAAAGACGAAGAAAAGCGAAAGTAAAAAGATATAAAAACGACATGGAGAGAAGAGGCTGACCGTCCGTTTATTCGCTGCTCAAAAGCTGATAGTGGCTGCGCCATACTGCTAAAAGGCGATACTGAGTCATGCTCTACGTCTTGATGCTCTGACATTCAACTCTTTCTTCACCTCTTGCCTATTGACACCCCGACGTTTTATGCGCGCTGGGGTAGCCCTGACCAACATTGCACCTCCAGTATTGAAGCAACTATTACTCTTCCTTTCATGCCTTTGCATTGGAAAGTCTAGTTTTGATATCTACGCCTTTCATTTTTGAAAACTGCGAACTATGACTTCTCAGGCAGCCCTAATTGACGAGACCATCGTCGGGTTGAAGAGAGCCCTTCTGCGGCACGCCTCAGGTATTACCACCTTGTGTGAAGGTCTACTGAGACGGAAAATATACTGATACTGTGAGCCGAATAGATGCTGCTTATGATGATGCGATCAATCAACCCTCCAACCGCGGAAACAAGACTAGGCTGAATGCCGAGTTCGTCCGAGAGGGTGCCCTAGGTTACATGAACCATGAACAATTCTATAGAAAAGTGAGCTGGCCTATGTTTACATATGTAGTTATGATTCTTACACTGTTTACAGAAAGCGGAACACTCGGGGTATACGCGAGATATATTAGAGAGCAACCCGCCACGATTCGATGCAGAAGGAGACGAGCTTGATTTTGACGACTCTGATGCCGCAGCGGATGCTGAAGCAGCAGATGATAACCCGTTCTCATCAACTCACTTGGATGGTAGTTTCCCCGCTTATAATGATGGTGTTTCTGTGGCTAACTTATATTCTGCGCACATAGACCTTCTTGCTCCGTTGACACACCCTTCCGAACTTGCGAATCATTCCATGGCCAATGCGTATACGAATAAAGCGATTACTACGATGATCGAGCGGATCAACCGCCGACTCCGATTAGAACGGCATGCGCTCTGGCAAGCAAAGAATGTTTATAGACAACTCGTCGCGGATTCGATATGGATGCCTTGCGGTGCTGTAGAGCGAGACGACGATGCTGAACTTTTTGGAGCATCAAATCCACAGCCTATAGCTCAGGAACCATCCGTTTCTAATTTAACAGCCACGGCATCTTCAGACCGTATGAATGTCGATCAACAGAATGATAATAATGGAGATAGCTCTGCAGGAAACGACAGAAATAATGATAATTCAAGAGCAGAAAGACCAGGTGAAACCACAGATAACACTCGCGATCCCGACGGAGACATAGTGATGGAATCCGCACACATAAACGACGGGGAAGACAAAGGCCGGAAAGGAGGTGGAGGCGAGTCAGAGGGTGATCAGGCTGAAGGATCGCCGAAGGATAAGGATAAGGAATTGGCAGATGACGGTTTTCTCCATCCACGCCGAATGACGACTAGAGCACAAGTAAGTGCGAACCAAAATACGGTTTCACAGGAGAAGCAAGACGAGAAGGAACAAGAAATCCTATCCCTCGACGTTCATCCCATCTTTCGACTGCCACGACTACCGCCGGAGGAGCGGAATTGCGGCTTAACCCAAAGTGAAGCTGATGAAACACGCCGTATGCTATGGGCTTATATACAGAAGCAAGGAGAGAGTGTGCGGCTGTTCACGGAGATGCTCAAGATGCTCCGCAAATCGCATCGAATGAAAGAAGAGGTGTGGGAGTGGTGCAAAGCGGAAGCACACATTGGAGAGCTGAGCGATGGAGAAGACTGGTATGATAAGGAGCGATGGGGGTTGGGTGAGGGTGAGGACCTGAGAAAAGGGGCCGATGAAGAGGAGACGGAGGGACTGGATGAAGGGAGGCCGACTGGTAAACGGGGGAGAGGACGAAGAGCTTGAGAATTTTATTACAAGTTATCTAGCCATCTGGAATGCGCTATATCATGTGTTTTTATTTCAATGCTATAGCAGAGAATATATAGAATAAGAACCGTTATGATGAATAACAGTGTATAGTAGATATATAATCTAGTAGATAGATATTCATTCGAGACCAGGGTTTAGTCAGTCTATATATGAAGAGTACCTTGACAAGAGTGGTCGAATAGCTGGTATATGTATCATCACCTAAGAAAGCCGGAGTTAGGGTAGAGTACGAGTACAATTACAGCGACAATAACACCGGCTGTGCCAGCTAGGAGCCCACCCAGGTTTGCCATGGAGAGAGGTTGAACTTTGTCTATCAGCCTTCAAGCTATCCATTGGAGGATAGATTTTGAAGTGGACAGGGCAGAGTAAGAACAAAAGAATTCTAAGAAGCCTTCCCGGCCTTATTTGCAGCGGATCTCTCCTTATCACGCTTGCTATAGATCTCTTCAGTGAATGGTCTGCAGTGGCGGTAGTTAGCATATAAGAACGAGAAGGAAAAGGGTACAGAGATACATGAAGAGCAGTTTCAAAACGTACTCTTCCCATAGACAGGCGATCTTGTAGCAGATGAAGACCTCAGCAGTGAGTAGGAGACCAGCAGGCTTGCCATGATACAAGGCCACAGCCAGGAAACTCATGGTGCTGCCCCAGTACATAGGAGCACTGGTGATGTTGAACGGAAAGCCGGTCACGGGAGCATCCATAAGGATTCCAAAGTAGTCTCCGAGGTAAGTTCCTGTGATTCCGAGTGCCCACATACTAGATAGAACGAGTACATTTCCCGTAGCGAAGAGGCCATAGGCCAGGTACTGCTGGTGGACAGGTGCAAAGTAGGGCTGGTTCTTGAGGGCGTCGTTGTATAAATGGTCGCGGATTATGCCTAGCGAGAAGATGGTAACAGCCAGGAAGTAGCACCCATTGTACTTGTTACCACTAAACAGCTTGGTCAAAAAGTGGTTGCTATATTCTATATGTCCAGTATGCGATAGGATGTCAGGATGGTTGCTTCAGTATAGATGCCCCAGAGTGGAGAGGGGCAGAGCGGGGAGGAGTGTATAGGGTCGGGGAAGTATCGGACCTTGACGGGCAACAATGCTATTGAAGTCAGCACCCAGAGACACATACGAGAGGGCCAGGGCAGATACATACTTCCAGAAGAGCGGGTTGAATGCAATTGTCACGGCCGACACTGGTTATGGATACTATGATAAGCTGTATGTACACACGGGCTAGAGTATGGCGGAACAACTTACCGACCAGGCTCGGCTGCGAGAGGTCAATGTATTGTGATAAGGACATGATTGGTATCTGGGTGAGGGAAATATGCAGTTCACAGTTCTTCAATTCGGCTTGAAGTGCGAGTCCGGAAGATGCTTTAACTTCTCCGTGAACTTGGAGTAGTTGAAGTTTTTGTCGTAAACAAGAAAAGAAGAAAAGAAGCAGAAGAACCCCACGCTTAGTAAATGCTGAGTAATAAAAGTGACTAATTAATTAATAATAGTAATTCTTGGCGTTCATTTGCCTTTATTAGACCTAACCCTAACCTTAACCCTAGCGCTGTGGCCATCAACACGAACCTGAGGGGCGGCTAAAGATTCATCTCGAAGCTCTAATTAGTTCGCTCTGATTGTCCGCCTGCATCACATCATACTCCATACGGCAGTACCTAGCGTCAGAAGATTTGAAGTTGAGTTTCTTGTGGGATGACGAGCTTTAATGTTTTCACGTCTAGGGGGATCGCGATGCTGACGTCTCGGGACTTGGGCGTGACGTATTGCTGCATTGTGTCTCGATCATGGAGGAGGCATTAATTTCTCTAGGCCCCAGAGCAGCTGAAATACACGAACAGTGCATTTTGCATGATTACTCTCCTTATCTATGAATGTATTCCTCCCTTGACTTTAATTTTATAGCACGGTAGGTCATATCTATCAGTATTTCTATACTGAATAAAGACGAAAGGAAACAGGAGTAATATTGACGCATTAGCGAGTTTGTATACATAACTTATTTAGTAAAGAGTTACTGTAGTATATCAACTGTGCTTGATAACTTCAACAGCGTCAGGTCAAACTAGCGGGGTAGATGCGTTTACGGCGGATCATGAAAACGGTAACTATAAATAACTGTATAATTGATGTTGGCATACAAATCCGAGGAATAAAAAAAATTTTCAATGACAACGTCAGATTTTAGACAATACCAAAACTCCGAAACAGCCATCCTTCAGTAGCTGCCGCCTACTATGCCCGCTATGAGCACGGACGTCAAACGCATTATCACGTTCTGGTTCAACCGCTCACCTGTTGAATGGATAGCTGGCCCCAGAGGCATCGATGACCAGATAAGATCCGAATTCGGTGACCTCGTCCTCAAAGCCCGTCAGAACAAGCTCGATGACTGGGAAATGGAACCCGAAACATGTCTTGCCCTCGTCGTTTTACTTGATCAGTTCTCCCGCAACATATTCCGGGGTTCCCCCGACGCCTTTAGCGCCGACTCAAAGTCCCATGAGCTAGCTACTAGGGCCATCATATGTGGTTTTGATAAGGATGTCACCGTCATCCAGGCTTCAGCTTTCTATCTACCGCTTTTACATCAGGAGAGCTTGATCTCGCTCGTGGCTGCTCGCTCTCTGTTTGAGAACCTGAGGCAACGATGCGTAAATAGGGAAGAGGAAAAATGGGTCGATATGGGTATCGATATTGTGAATGAGAATATCCGCCATATGCAGAAATTTGGAAGATATCCAAGCAGAAATTTAGCCTTGGGCCGAACAAATACCGAAGCAGAGGAGGAGCACCTCGAGCAGCAGGCGAACCGGGAATGAAGCTGGCCCGTACATGTTCGGATGTTTACATACTTGTACAGAGCAATGAGCTTAAGATTGGTTAAATAGATTTTATCTTGCGCTATCACATGGAATATCCACGAGTTTACCGTTTAATATTTTGATTGTACACTATTGAGAAACTGGGAAATATTTTAAATCCATACCAGCCAGCAATAAGTAACGGTTAACAAGTTGCGCATTAATAGTAAGAGGTAGCTAGGTATAATACTTTAACATTTATCAAGGCATATTTCACTGGAATTTGAGGTATAGAGCAACTGCTAATGCTGATGGAACCTGTTTATAGGGCGCCGACTGTGTTATCGAATGCACCGCAAGGCTCGAATTACTGAAAAATGACAAAATATAAGTTCAACTTCCAGAGTTTATTTTATGGGTCTATTATTAGCAACTAAAGTGGGCTTTCCGTGACGCTAGTCCGAAATAAAACTAGCGAGCGTTTGAGCTAACCTTAATTATTATTCACTTCTTGACTTTTGCTCTTCAGAATTTCTTCAATTGATGAAGTCAATAACGAAGGCCCTCATTTGGCTTTATTTATCCGGGAGAGAGCATAGATATATATAGTCAAAGTATTCTAGTATGGGAGTATAGGAGGTTGGTAATACAATATTATTAGATGGAATTCCTTTACAGTGTTCATTGTACCTCGTGTAGTGTCCGCTCTTCAGACCATCGGGAATACGGATGGAAGATCAGAAACAGATATTGTTGAGGGGTAAGTATATTTATAGGTTCACATCTAGGTTTGTCTAAGGAGCATCTAGAATCAAGATTTACATTTCCCCAGACTTGCTTTTCCCGGTTGTCCGCAGATAGATTCCCACTTCCTGTAAACCATACTAGAGACCCTTCTAGAAACTCTCGATTTGATGGGCTCGCCCATCCATTGGAAACTGGGAGCGGGTAACAGTAATGGCGCTGTGATGGCAACGAACAATTGTATGCCTTATACCAGGTGGATAAGACCTGGCTATGCCTGTAGTTTTTGAAACTATGCAGCAAGGGTTGAAATTCCTTAGTCTAATAACCAGCAAGTTCCTTTATCTTGTAATCTTGGATTTGTCATGGGCTTTCCTAGCGGACGGGAAAAGACAGCAGCAACAGCAGTAATAACAGCAGTTGCGGCACGAGCCAGTCAACTTTCGGAGTTGTAGAAGGAATCCAATAGTAACAAGAGCAACGGGGATCCACATCAGCGCCATCATCGCAATGCCTAGTTCGGCATGGACATTGAGGTCTGCAGCGTTATTCTCGAAGACGATTTGAAAGATGACGAACATGACCGTTGCAACGGCGGCTCCGGCAGAAGTCGTGAACCAGGCACCCCATGCAAGAATGGCGATTGGGATCGCAATCTTGCTTGGTGCAGCTCTTTTCTTAGCGCGGTAGTAGGAGGAATAGTTTGGCGCCGAGAGGATGGCTGCTGACGAGGGTATGGAGAACGGAGTTAGGATCATGCAGAGGAATGTGAGGATAGTAGCAGTGATGAAGAAGCCGAACATCCAGTTTGAAGCTACGCGGGCGATGTTCAGGGCACGGGTGATTCCACTAGGCAGAACAACTGGGATGATCAGCAGGGTCTCTACAGGGGGTGTGAAGAAAAGTAGAATCCTTACTTGTGGCGCCGGCCAGTAGCTCACTGGTAATAATTTCAACTGGATTAAAGGCATACGTCGGCTTTGGCTTGGAACAGCGAGTGATGCCTGAACCGTCTCCGTATCCTTCACAGAAGCCCCAGAGACCAACTTGGTAGAAATCATGCAGTCCTATAGTTCGGGCGATACTGTTGATGAGTACAGCATTGGGAACAGTCAGAGGAATGATGTTGGAGAGATCGATCTTGAGGAAATAGATATCTCGCAGGACGAGTCGGTCTGATAGATTGCCTATCTGCACGAGCAGCAGCATAACGAACGCAACGAAGTATATGAGCGAGTGGAGGATGCGATGCGGTATAGCCGGCCGGCGAGCCAGAAAGCTCTGTCTGGGAGCTTTCTCGCTCGACTCTGGAGGACCGGGCCATATCTTTGAAAGGACAGGAGGCGACATGTCGATATCGCCGTCCTTGTGTTTGTAGGCAGTGATATTCTGCTTTGCAGGGCAGACCTGGAGGCGTAGGTCAACAGCAAGGCTCACAACGAGCGACGCAAATCTCAGGCAGGAAGACAAGGATATAACGAAGCTGCTGGGCGTTAAACCATCTCAGCAACGTTTCAGTGGCCCAGTAAAAGACAGAGGATCAAGAGACGATCCTCCTGAGCCAGCAGGTCATTTGCTCGGAGACTTGCTGGACCGGGGGGCCACGATTCACCGGGCGAGACCCAAGGTCTGCCAGTCAAGGAAGTGAATAGACAAGCGAGGGAGGTCTAGTGAGAGTGATAGAGAATGAGAGCGAGGGCGAGGCCCTTATGGAGTTTGATTTAGGATGTTTGTTGTAGGACGACGGGTGTGTTTAGGTGTGGCTGTAGGTATATCAGCGGACGCAGAACCGCTGCTGTGACGCCATCACGCGGTGTAGGCAAACTGCCGGGTCGTTGGCCCCCCTGGCGCATCCAAGACAAAACAGGCGGAGGACTGATTCCTCAGTCTCAAGCTGCGGCTGGAGCTGGTGATGGAGCTGCCATGGTTGTTGTCCAGGTCAAGGATCTTCTTGTGGTGGAGAAAAAGTGGCTTGGACGGGATGTGCTTGCGTGTAACTATTTCTACGGACGAAGCGGGAGAAACAACGAAAAAGAACATTACGGCTGCTTCTATTCGCTATTTAGTAATTTGGGAGCCTGCTGAAGAGCTGCAGAAGAGCTCTTAGAGCCAGGAAGAAGTGGCAGCAGAAGTGATCTATCAGGAAAGCCGTGGAAAAAAGGAGCTCATAATATTGTCATGACGAGGATGTTGATCACGATCATCGAGTAAATCATCTCTAGCTTGCCAGATAAACGAGCAATGAGGGATTCAGAAGCAAGAGACGTGGTTCGGCCGCAGCATTTGCCGTTGTACGTAACGTTGTTGAGCTTGGCAGCGACTTGGAATACGGAGCCGTTGACGTTGCCTATGTTGTAATAGTCGACTAGGAGGAGGTTTGGCGGACGATTCCATTTCTCTAGACGGTGTAAGTAGATAGAATAACGAGTAGGAGGGAGAGAAGACGTGCCTGTGCAGTTACCGGCCATGGCTCCCATGCTGCCAAAGCCTGAGACTGCGTTGGTCTCGTTCAGCAGGACTGTGTTGGGCACGAGAATGTTGGCTCCGGCGATGCTGATCTCGAGATTCAGGTTGTGGTTGGCTATGTACATGCGTTTTCTGGCGTCGGCTTCGTTGAGACCAGGTGGTCGTTGGATATCGCACGGGAAGTTTCTATCCGTTGGGGAAAACGGGGTCTCCCAGATGTACGTGAACTCATCCAGGATGTAAGGGACTTCGTCGTGGTTGGCCTCGTAGTCCATGAAGACCATCGCCCTTTTACCGGACAGGATAATCTCAGATAGCGTAGGCCAGTCGTTCAGAGCTATAGAGTGATTCTTGGGTGTGTAGATATGGTCTATCAGCCCGGAGCTCTGGATCGGTGCAGTGAAGTTTTTCACTTTGATGAAGTCCCCGTTGCCGATGAGCAGGGAGACAACATCGTAAGGGTTGTCTCTGAGCCAGTCTGCTACCTTTTTCAGGTAGCTCTCCAGGGTGCCGGCGTTAAGCAGATCACACGAGCTGTGGCAGAGATAGATGGTTCCATTCACCTGGTGCGTTTGGAACTGGACTGGTAGAAGTTAGCATCGTCAGTAAGAGTAAGAAAGAGGACGTACGCATCCGGATTCCATCGTTGAGCTGGGTGAGGACGTCTAGCTCCTGGTTGCTGGCGATGTTGCCTGGCCGCACAAAGGGGCTGTTGTGAGCAGCCACCTGAGTGATGTTTCCGTAACTGCGAGCACAGAACTCAGCATACCCGTTGCATGGCCGCGTATTCGTCGGCTGGGGCGCTCTCGACGTCTCTGTTGCCGTAGCGTTTCCAGACAGCGTTGTCTCATTTGCAGTCACGGTGCTGGTGGTGTGGCTGCCGACCAGCAGGGTGTAGCTGGCCGAGGTAGTGGTATACAAGCTGTCAGACGAGTTTGTCGAGCTGCTCGAAAATGTCGACTGAGACAGCTCACTCGAACCGGTAGGCGTTCCATGGTGTATCGAGATGGATGTTGGGATATCTGAGCCCGTCAGGGTGATGGTGGCCTCTGCTGCCGTCCGCACAGGACATAGCAGGCCGGCCACCACGGCACCAAGAACCAACAGAAGAATTTCCATGCTGGTTTAAACACAAACAGAGCTATCTCTAGCTGTCCCTGTATTTTATTTCTTCTTATTTGATTTCTTTCAGAAGCCAACAGCGCGTCTAGTGACGTAACTGGTGGAGAGGAGATCAGCGTCTATCCCAGAGAAAGGGATAGAAGCTGAAGGCGAAGCTGAGGAAGAAGTTGGGAGGCTCTTCCGCGGATCCTTTCTGGCCGTCCGGCTGTCTCTTGCTGGTCATCTGCTTGTCTGTTTGCTTGCTTGCTTGCTTGCTTGCCTGCCTGCTGTGTGCCTGCACAGCCTGATGATCACGCAGCTAGGCGGGCGCCAACTCGTTCTCCTGTCTCTGATGTCCCTGGCCGGTGGATTCACTCGGTGTTTCCCCGTCTCTAAGACGTCCTCTTGCTCTGATTCACCTTCACGGAACAGTCACTGTAACCTCCCGTATGCTTCTGCGGCTTCTCTGTGGCCCTGTGTCACGGTTGAAGTTTATAGTAAGTAGGGCCGTCCAGACTGGCCGCGGCCGCTCGACTGGCCCATGACGGCCCTGGTGGCCTTCTATGCAGCGTCTTATTGTCCTCGGCCGCTGTCTATTGTCATTCTCTATTGTGTATTGTCCCGTCGAGCCGCTCAATTGCTACGTGTCAAAGAAAAAGGCCGAGGGTTGACGTGGAAAGTCGAGTTCTTCGCTTTGTCCCATTTTGGTTCCCACCAAAAGACCCATAAAAAAACAAAAAAACATCATCGACAATTGCAAGTTACAACACCACCACCACCACCACCACCACCACCCAACGACAACGACAAACGACACGGAGGAGAATCAAACAATATATGCAAGACGCATCGTTGCTTTATACTTGCTTCTGGAATTACTCTGACACGGATAACTGACGCTGCACTGAACACAATGGTGGACATCGTCCCGCTCTGCTCATACCCATCCTACATCTCGCTGCTGCCCGCAGTGCAGACCTGCAACATCACAAACCTCCCCGAGAATTACTTTCTTAAGTACTATCTCTACCATGCACTCTCATGGCCGCAGCTGAGCTTCGTTGCCGTTGTCCGGGACTGCTCCAGCAAGTCAAAGGACCCATTCGCGCCTGCCGCAAACCCAAAAGTCGTTGGATATGTGCTCGCGAAGATGGAAGAAGAGCCCTCGGACGGGCTGCCACACGGCCATATCACAAGCTTAAGCGTCATGAGAACACACAGACGGCTGGGAATCGCCGAGCGCCTGATGCGGATGAGCCGTACGTCTAAAGAAAACCCAGAAAAATTGGAATGAATGAGGTATATCATGGTGCAGATTAAGCTAACATATATGTGGATAGAACGAGCAATGGCAGAGTCTCATAAAGCGCACTACGTTTCCCTCCACGTCCGTGTCTCGAACACCGCTGCTCTCCGCCTCTACCGTGACACCCTCGGATTCGAGGTCGAAAAGATCGAGCCTAAATATTACGCTGACGGAGAGAATGCGTACGCCATGAAGATGGACCTGACTAACCTATGGTTAAAGGACGATGAAGGGTACAGCGTCGGCCTAGACGGCAAGTCATTCAAGAATACAGATGAGGATGCTGACGAGGGCGACGAAGTTGGTGACATGGGCAAGGCTGGTGACGAAGCTAGCAAGGAAGAGAAGAAAATTAGAGTCAAGGTCGGCCGAAGCTTAGGCGTGGGAGATCTTGTGGAGCGGAATGAAAGTCGAGCGCAGGCTTAAAGGGATATTCCCCCCAGACTGGGATATTTGACGATAAAAAGAGAAGATACGAAACGAAGTTCTTATTATGTGATATCATGCCTACTTCACAATGAAGCACGAATAGTGTGGATATATTTTTTAGTCTTCATCGCATTATAGTAACTATACCCAGGAGATAGTTGGAGAGCAGAGACTAAAAAATTGTCATTCATTTGAGTAGGGTTCAAATTATATCATTATCAGTATTTAATACACGGCAAAAAGTAAGACTTGCTTTTATTAATATCATATCCAACAACTACTGCTTGACATCCTTCATCACCATTCCGGCCGCCTGGGGAGTTTGAGGGTACTCTCGAGGAGGAATATTACTTGATATGTTCATATCCTCCATCCTTCTCTCCAGGGGAATATCCGGCTCTGTTTCTAATACGTTAGCATCACCGTGTTGCCAGCCAAAAATAGGGGTAATTAACAAAGCAATAAACGAACCTTTGGCTTTTCCCTTGCCTTTCTCCTTTGCTCTCTTACGCTCTTCCTTTCTAGCTGCCTTCTCCTGTTTTCTAGCCTGTTTCTCCTGCTTTCTGGCCTGTTTTTCTTCTTGTTTGAGATTCTTGGCGGCCTGCTTCAGCTCCCGTTTCTCACCTTGCAGGCTGCGTATCAAATTAACATAGTGATCCTTGATCTCCTGCATGTCCCTCTTTATCTCGTCAATGTTAGAACCGAATTCTCCTCGAGTAGTAGATGGATGTCCCGCTGCACGGGAACTGGAGCCGCCGCTGCCGCCAGACTTGGCACCACGACATCGTCGACCTGCTGAGCGGAACTCTCTTCGAGCTGATTTCAGTGCTTTACAGTCTCGTCGCAGCTCCTTCCTGCGTGCCCGGTAGTCTGCTGTAGAGAGTTGTCTTTGCTCTTGCTGCTGCTTGAGATTCTGAAGGGCAGTCTTGAGAGCGGCAAGCTCGCCCTTTTTCAGATCGGAGTCGGAAGAAGCAGAATCTAGGGATTCAGAGGAACTGCTTGACGAAGAGGACGAAGATGAGGACGAAGAAGAGACAGAAGCGCTTCTTGCTCTTCTGCCTCTCTGCTCGATGTGGCCCCATTCGCGTCCTCGCTGACCCACCGGATCGGCTTTATGCCGCCAAAGTCCCCAGTCAGAGCTACCTGGCTGACATCCTTCAGGACCCCAAGTATTTCTACCTTGTCCGGGTCCTCCATAACCTCGACCTGCCCATCTACCATGATGGTGGTGAAAGTGGCCATGGCCACCAAACCGGCCGTGAGGTCCATGATGACCACCCCATGATGATTGGGCTTGGTCTCTGTAAGTAGTAAAATTGTGGATAGCTCTGTTTCTGGCATCCATAGCCTGCTGCTGGACATAGAATGCATGTGCATGAGCATTTCTTTCCACCTCACGGCTGGCTGCTTGAACCTGCTCGCTCACCCTTCTGCTGTGCTCCATAGCCTGTTCTGATACATACTGGCTGTATCTTTGGACTTGGTCCGAAATCATTGAAGCAATGTTATTCACTGCCGCGCCAGGGTTGAAAACCCACACGCCTGGTCCACCCGCAGGGCTAGATCTATATTGATATTGGTTATCTGAGCTTCCGCTTCCTGCTGATGCTGCTGCTGCTGCTGCTGGGGGGTCGGCGGCGTTAGTTGTCTGCCGGTTCTGCTGGCCACGTCGTACCGTGTTGGGTGGTTGAGGCAGTTCAGGTATTTCTCTTGAAGTAGTGTCCATAGGATTTTCAAACAAAGGCCGACGGATATCATCGCGAGATCTGGATGAGGTGGTGTTTGGATAGCATGAAGGACACAAAGGAGACTCAGGTTGGCCTCCGTCTTCACGAACAAAACAATAAACTATCACAACCCTACGCGGCTGGAAAAAGTTGACATTCCACTCTGTAACCACTGCTGTAATCCTCCATTGTCGCTCTTCCTCGGTCTCTTGCGGTCTGTCTTTTCGATCACGTTCAATCTCAGCACGCAGCTTTTGTGGTAGCTGAGGGTGATTCGACGCCGGTCCAAGATGCGGTGGTAAAAGGTAATTCAGAAACGTATCCCAATCATGTTGTGTGATCTCTTCAGTTCTAGAGCGCCAACAGCGAGGATACTTCGAGAAGTCTTTGGCCTGGCTTCGCCTGTAGAAGACTAGGGTATGTTCCAGGACTTCTGCGTCAGAACGTGCAGTCAACGACAGGCCACGCTCACTGAAATATGGCACTGCAGAAACAAAATTCGGAGCCTCTACGGCATGGGTATATGACGGAATGTTTTCTGCTGATACCTGGCTTGCGGCATCATTGATCGTGGAAGCCGGAGTCAGAGGGTCGGTTGGGGTGTAAGGCGGAGGTGCGTCCTCCTCCGGATGGATATGTGTGAGAGTCATGCTGGCAGTTGATAATTAACTAACCCAGAACTTGTATCTAAAGATTGAGTATCGCGCTGTAGTTATATCTCTTGAACATCACAGGCAGCAACAAAAGAAGCGACGAGGGGTTGTTTTGAGGGAAACTAGGCGTGCCCAATATTTAAATAGAACAAGGCTAGTCCGTCCAAATACGAGGCTCGCTGAAGGCAGCAGCATTTCTCAGCCACATTAAAGAGCTGCAAGTCTTGCCGTTAGCGTGCATATTAATGTTGTTGCCTGGAATTCATGGGATCGTTCGCGTGCCTCTACTGAAGTGGACAACAATCTTGGAGTATACCAGCCACCATCTCTGGTGCAGAGGGCATTGGCAAGTTGCGGAGTAACTCCTCCAGCCTTCTCGTCCGTAAAGGCGGCCCGCCTATTCCCCATTATTGTCTCCTTCCTCAGCCTCTCAACTCCGGAGCTAGTAAAGCCGTCTTCGGAATTAACATTTTTTTCGGGAGTTCTGTCGTGCCATCCCCTCGCGTCGCTCCAGAAACGCTCGCTAGAAATTGCAAAAACCAAGCTCAAAGTAATGTGCTGAGGAGTTCGTCTACTTTGTAAATCTCCAACCAAAGAAGCGCCAATGCTAAGTAAATTCATGAGAACATCATGACGACCAACTTTTCGTCCAAACCATTCAATGCATAAAGATGTCAGGTAAAGGAATATGAACCGCCCCAAAACACTAATCCCAAGCATCTCCCCATCCGTCATCATCTAGCGGCTCATCTTTAGGTTTTGTGTCGATTGTCTTTGCTGGTTTGATAGGGGCCTTTGGTTTAACCTCTGTTCGTTTAGCTTGTGCTGTGCCGGAGCCTCCCTGCGTGGAAGACTTCTTTAGCCCCTTTGGCAACGGGTTCTTTGATTTGGACTTCGATTGACTAGCTAGCCAGCCTGCAAAGTCGGGTTCTCCATCGTCGGCAAAATTATGAGGGCGTGATGATATGGCTGGGTTGGGAGATGCTGCCTTCTCAAAAACAATCGGTTCTTGGTCTTGCGTGTCTGGCTCATCATCAATGGCTTCGTCCATTGCGCCCCAGTCGTCAAATGCATTGCTCTCCTCGTCTTCTAGTAAATCAGGAGTAGCTTGGCTAACACCACCGTTTGCTGGCTGTGAGAATTGTGCTACATTTTGTGCGAGAGTTGGAGTTGTGGATCTGGCCCGAGAAGGTGGCAGAGAGTTATCGACGGCCTTTCTATTGGGCTTCGGTAGCGCTGGCTGGATTGGCTCAATAACTCCCTTAGTTTCTCCTGCTTTACTCGTGAATGAGGAGATTGCCCATCCGGCCCACGATGCTGCCGTGTTGGCCGGGCTAGGTAGTCTGGCTGCTGCTACAGACGAGTCTGCCCGTTCCTGAGGTGGGAGTGCGGTATCTGCCATGGTTGAAGTAAATTTGCGGATCCGTTGCAAGTATATGTCTAAACATTTGTTTGCCTGGTCACGAACAAGCCTATGAAAATGATGTTAGGGGGTATTGATATTAAATTCTTGCCAGGAAGCTGTAACATACTTCTCCTTGTCTATGAGCGCAGGGGAGATTACAGGTAGGACTTTGACCGCACAATCTTCTTCAGAAAAGAGGTCAAACGTAGCCGCCAGAGCAAGAAGTCCGGCATTCCGTGCATGGACAAAAGGGTCTCTTAATGATCGAGAAAAAGCCGCAACAAGAATCTTTGGCCGAGACTAATTACACAGTTAGTCAAGTCCAGTCCGGTTTCTCATATACTCAACTTACGCTTGCAGACAAGTTTTTAGCAATTTTACCCAAGCATATGGTGGTATTTGTACGGATTCCAGGCTGTTCATCATTGGCAGTTTTTGCAAGATATCGAACCAGTTCGCCGTTGATCGTGCGGTCTGATAATTTGCCTATAATTGCTAAGACAGCTTTGACAGTCTGTTCACGGACAACTGGGGCAAGATCCGTAAAGCCAGTGACCATTTGAGGGAATATCTTGTCATTCACAGTTCTCTGGGGAAGCCGGTCGATCATGAGGGGGAGATTATCCAGTAAGCATACACGTATAGCTCGGTCTGGATTCGCAAATAACCGAACAAGGACGGGTGTAAGTTTCTGGGAGTATTCATCATCACTAAGTTTGGTCCCGACTTTCAAGATAGTTGAAAGCACTTTTGGACCTCCCCCACCAAATTCAACCGATTTAAGGAGCTCGGGCAAGACTTTCATTTTAAAGAAATCCTCAGGATAGTCATCGGATAATTCGTCAAGTTCACTGTTTTTCGGATTAGTGTATAATGTAATTAGAAATTCAGCTTCGTTAACCTACTTAATAAATTGTTCTCTTTCCTCTTCACTTTTAAGTCCTAAACTCTCTATATCCTGGGATAAGCGGATTAAGGGAGTCTGGAAGAACCCTCCTGAGCGTTTCCCCTGCTCAAGGAAATGCGCTACGCTTAGTCGTAGTTTTGGGTTAGGATTCATAAGTTTCTTATAGCTGGGCCGCATGCTGGGAGGTACGTTTGAAGTCTGACCAGCTTGTTCAGGCCCCTGAAAGGATCCATTGAAAGCCTCGTATATGAGAACTCCGAAGTTATATGCGTCCACAGCGAAGAGTGGGTTGTTTTTTATAACATCCCATCCACCCTTTAGTATTTCCGGGGGGTTGTATCGCCGTGATTCTGGAAGAATACTGCCATACGTCTGCATCCCTGTCAGAAACTACACAGCTTTGTAAAGAACACGGGAAAGGGGGTCATACATATATCACCGGGGAGTCTTCCTTCAGGGAGCTTAGAATGTCGAAACCGGCTAATTTCCATTCCCCACTTTCTCCAGTGTATACAGATGATACTCTGATCGCACCATGTACGGACGCGGCATCTTCATTTATAAATTTTAGAGTAGACTAGAACGCCATATGAGAATAGCTTTCAAGGCACACCGTAGGGAGATTTGATACTCACGGCGATGGTATATAATCCCCATTTTATCGTTTCCTCAGACATACTTCGCCTTTTAACCGGCCATGATAAGGGAATGACTCGCTCTACAACAATGTAGATTTGTGTTTCCGTCTGTTTTCCGCGTCAATCCAGATGATATCCCAACCCCCATATCCGGTAAGGGAGGTTGTCAAATTATATATCGTACCTCGATGGTTTCTAGTACTTTTATTACGCCGGGGTGTCTTAACGTCCGTAGTTTCCGCAACGCATTCTTTGCAAGTGGAAGATATGACCTATTTTGAAGGATTTCAAAGGTAAATATGCTGCATGAAGAACCGTCTTCCTACATTATCATAGATGGTAATTAGTAATTATCCATCCAATGCTTAGAGGGATAATAGTTGTTTAGGTACCTTCTTGGTGCCATTGTGAAGACTCCATAATGAGTCTCCGTTGTCCACTCTGTCACCGAGAGTATAAGGAAATGAGCTGCTCTTTGCAATCGCAGAGGCGACCGCGGACTTTAGGAAATCCATGGCTTCTGGCTAGCAAGCTTTTTGCTACGGTATAGTGTCCTTACTCCGAGTTGTACTCAGAGACCAGTTAAGCCGCCAACTGCTCGCACGGGAAAGTTAAAGTCGAATAGACGGGCAGCAGGTTAGGAAATATAACAGGCGTATACCAGCAACAGCCGGTAGAGGTACCCAGGGAGTTTCGAAGTCAAGTAGCGCGTGGTTCTCTTGATCGCTATCTAGACGTTGTTATCAAAAAAACTGCCTTCTTAGTTGCTATCCGTGCTTCTTCCCAGCTCGGTCTAGCGCGCTTGTCTCTGTCGCGATATAGAGTTTAGTCAGCATTTACACGCTTAGTCATAATACGATGGCCTATAGCATGATACCACGATAAGGAAGAACAATCAGGGGGCTACAGGCTAAATATAGGAACTCATTGGAAGTGAAGGAAGAATAACATAAAGATAAGAGAAATTGTTAAATTGATGGTTGGAAGCCATCCAAGTAAGGCTAGTGAATAGTATAGCTAGAGATGTAAACCGAATGAATTACCCCAAACCAGACCATTCTTCCACGGAGTCAGCAGGTAGGAACAGTGGCATTCAAGCGAGTCGTCGTTCGAAGAAGGTATCAGAGGAGTCCGGCGTTTTCCCTCTAGAAGGTAGTGCCGGAGCAGGCAACGAAGCCGCCCTTCTGAGCACCAGAATGAGTAATCTCACCAGCCCTCTGGCAATCCTTGGTGATAATAACGCGGTCAGGTCCGGGGACGCCTTTACATACCACTGTCAGTCACTGCGTATTGGCTTTTTTTTTTTTTTTAACCCTCCTGATAAGCGACATAAAATAGATAACTTACCTCCCTTGTATATTCCAGACTTAAGCAAGGGGAACTCGTAAAAAGGACCCTTGAGGCCCCTGATTTGGAATTTCTCGTAGTTATTATACTGATGGGGGTATTTGCCAACTTGAGTGTGCGCCTTCACATGTGTGCAGACTGCAGCATCGGCAGCCTTGACTTGTTCGTCGGAGTACATATTGCTGCCGCATTGGATGGCACTGGCAGCGGCCACGAAGGTGAGGATGGTAAAGAGCTTCATCGTTGTTTTGAAAGTGTTGGAATGGATAGGATTGGTTCGAATCGTCTTTGATTGTTTGAAGAGATGCTTCGTTGCCTGGAGATCAAGAGAGGGATCATCAGGGTCCTTTTATACCTTAGGTCTCGCCATCGGACAGGCTGATGAGTATCAATGATAGGAAGCATCCAAGTCCAGAGCCAGCCGCATCCACAAGAGCGAAGTCCGTCTACATCGTGGCATGGTGAAGATAGTGATGGAGTTAAGAAATGCGCCTAACATTGGCTGACGGCCGAATAATTCAGGCAGTTTTCATCCTATCCTTGGTATGGGCATCATGGTCAATCAGCCATGGTGTATGGGTATATGCCAACAAATCCAGGCTATCTTCGTCCTCTCACTGGTTATGGTGGGCTGGCTTCTTGGTCAGTCAAACCATGGTATACGGGCATATGCGAATGAACCTGGGTCATCTTTGCCTGCCTGGCCCCTGGCTCTGGAGCTTTAAGAGAATAAAACAAGACCATAGATGCAGGCTGCCTGCGGGCCCGGGGGATCTGCACTCCTTGTGTTTGCAATAATACTTTGCAGCGGGTGAAGGTGTCGTTGGTTTTGGGTTTGGATATTCTGAAAATTAGGCCAATGAGAAAATTCCACCACCAACTCTGCATCTGATAGGTCGGAAGAGCATGCTGGTCCGCCGTTTGCGCTAGCGACGAAAGAAGAATAAGCTTAATTCTCCGAAATGATTTTCCCTCAGACCGCCCAGTGCCAAGCAGGGAGCCCCGTGCATCCTCGCTCTGATGCCGTTGGAATCAAACTGCTGCACTCGCCATGAAGAGGGACAGATTCAAGATCTATGATCTCCGGGATCTTAACGACTGCTAACCGATATCTTGGCTCAAGGGCCATGGGGAATCGGGCGCCTTTTGCTCCCGCGTGTTCGAAAAGATGCGACTTGCGCGCTTTAACTAATGTCGGTATGCCACAGTTCGGCGTTTAGTCCCGTTTGTTTGATACTTTGAGTATGTGGATGCCGAATGGCAGGTCGAAAACTCCTTTCCACCTGCGACAGCCTGTCCTTTGGCTAGTGCAGACAATCGGTTGGCTCTTTGCCCTTGTTTTGATTCCACTAACAGTGACAGCAAGTAGAATAAAAGGAGAGATTAGGAGCTATTCCAAATCTAGTCTAGCGCGTTTGTTTCGAGCTACCAAACTTCAACGTCCAGCTTTTTCGCGATTTTCAGGCGACCTCAGCATACGCGCCTTCGAACGAGCACCCGGGGGCAACCCAAGTGTACCATGAGACAAGGGGCATAAACTCAATAAAAATACCCGTGCCCGCTAGCTAAGCATATATATACCTTTGCAAAGGAAGGTGAAGTCATGTTGATATGAGCTTGTCCTGGTAAGGTAAGATATCTCCTTACGCATACACACCCCCTTACTGCATCGCCATATATCTCATATACACACGCCTCGATCTCCTATGATGCGAACCTGGTAAAAGGTCAGACTTGGACAAAAAAGACAAACGTGTTGTCGGCTCCCTTGCTGCCTCTCTAGAAACGGGTCTCCGAACGACCGGACTGGAAACCAGCTTGATATCAAGCAGCTGTGCCTCAGACATGCCTTCGTGCTTCTCACCCCTGGTATCCTAATGCATTTATTTCAATGAGGGAGACTGCGCAACCTGCTATCCTCAGCTGCAATCCAATGATTCCCCTTCCTGAGTACGGTGCCCATAATACCGCATACATGAACAATTACCGCTATCTGGAGCTCCTGGTCTGCTTCTCCGCCGTGAGGATACAGGAGCTAATGGCAGTGGTTGACAAATTCTCTAAAAAAAAAAAAAATTTAACATACGCTCATGCAACGGGACTTTGGCTCTTGGCTTGACTCCAATACAGCTTGCGGCCCTCGGAAACCAGGAGCAGCGGAGGTCATGTCTACCAGGAGGAACGCGTTGATATGAGATGGACCTTCTCGGCCCGGCCCATGTTTGATGTTTGGATTCACGTTTCTAGAGGGAGTCTCTGGGAGCTGATAGCCATGTCTTTTCAAGAGTGATGTGCAATCATAACTGAAAAGACCTGAGGAGATGTTTCCCATTTTCCATTTTTCAGCTAACTACCTTTCAACTACATGTACAGCTAGCTAACATGACTTACTCGATAGGGCTTGCTCTTTCTTTTCGTCGACAGAATGGCTTCGCAACTGCGAATTGCGAAAATGTTGATGGACTCTTAGGACCTTATTAGTATGGAAACATGATCATTCAATAAAACTACCTCCCCTAGTTCAGTTACCATCAAGTCGTAACATTTCACGGGAATACGAATAATCCCAAAATCAGTAATAGTAAAGCCTCACTTCTTCTCCTGCCCCTGCTTGCTTCTTTCCCTTCATCGTCATCACTCCATTCGAGTAGTCCTCAAACTTCATTCACGTCACCTTGCTCCCACTCTCTCCCCACACTAGAAACTTGAAAAATTAAAGCCCGAAAAGTGTCATGGTCATGCCACGAAAGAAAAAAAGAAAAAGAAAAATAGTAAGAAAGGAAGAACAGATGAAAAACATGAGAAAATCATTTATCAACTCCCCGTACCCCCCTAAACGATTTTCTCTCTTGCCACATCCCCATTGATTCGGGCCTACCTCTTTCTCCTTCGTCGGCCGAATAGCTGCTTATAAGTTGGCATGATAGCTAGCTAGCTATGCAGGACTAATGGGTGCCTGATGAAATGTTGATAATATCGCTAAGCCATTATGATCGATACCTCCATCATCTCCGTATATTCGCTTCTGACCGAGTGAACAAGGAAAGGCCGGAGACAAGTTGCAAAATTGGTCTAGAATATGCAGATAATAGTGGCTGAAGCATAGTAGGCTGTTTGGCGACAAAGATTCGGTCAATGTATGCACCAAAGGCATAGATTAAAGCTTGTATCCGTCAGTTTATCTTCATACTTGATAAATGTAGAATCGGCCACAGATACCTATCCAGTCCCATTAGCATACAGTGCGGTGTTGTGATAACGAAGATACAAGAAGAACCTACCCGTGAAGCCGGTAGCGTGAGCCCTGACAAGCGAATGAGACGCCCGTGTAACTATGCCCTGCTGTAGTAATTGGGGGTCCAGTAAAATTGTGGAATGTACGGCACCATGCGGTCCAAGCAGGTGGCAAGCGACTGTGACTATTTGGACGGTTGAGGTTGATGGGGCGAGATTGAATGACCATACATATATGTAAGGCGTGTAAAGGAAAAAAAAGGGATAGAAATCAAGTGGTCTATATTTCACTTGTCACGAGCCAGAGTTGTCCGGAAATAGAGGATCATGGAAGTAAACGAACAACACAGATGGTGTTACACCGTCAGTTTTCGACCTCAGCTTAAGAAGTAGAGTGGTGGAGAACGTGTGGCTTTCACTTGACTTCTTCAGGGGCTTCGGTTGGATGGACATTTGGGGTAGGGGCGGGAGGCGGGCCGCCTTGCGGTTGCATGGGAGGTGGAGGCCCATGAGGTAATTGATTGAAGTTGTTATTGTTGCTGTTATTGTTTTGGGTTTGACTACGGTATTGGTGGTGGGGGTAGTTATGGGCTTGGTGCGGACTAGAGGCGAAGTGAGGGTGTTGCTGGTGGTGGCCAGGACGCATCGGGGGCATATGGCCAGGTTGTTGGGGAGCGTAATAGCCTTGTCCTTGCTGTCCGTTCATCGGCATCATGGGCTGAGGCGGAGGTCCTTGCTGGGAGCCCTGGTGCATCATCATGGGTGCACCACGACTTGGACTAGGGTACCCGCTATGTGTCTGCATTGGAGGAACATGCTGCGGATAGACATGGCTAGGGCTAGGAGAAAACATCTGCATGGGAGGGTTGTACGGAGTCATGCTTTGCGGTGGCATGTTCATGTATGGACCGTTCG